CCCGTCGTAATGAACGACTTTAGGTTTAGAGTTCAATGGCTTACGGATCCGAAACACGACGTCGTTCAGTTTGCTTAGGACTGTGTAAGGACCATCCCAAGGTGACTGTAATTTAGAACTGAGTCCTTTCCGTCCAATCGGGTTCCACAAGCCTTCCTTCTCTCCTTCGTTGAAACGATGTCCAGTAGCTCTGGTGTTGTATCTGGTCTTCACCTTGACTCGCTTTCGTGCAGAAAACGGCACATCACTTCAAACCGGGCCTGGACATCTTGGATGTATTCCTCAGGCGATGAAGGCGCATCTGGAGTTTCGATCAAACAGAGGTCACAAGGCAGACGAAGGTCTTGACCGAAAAGCATCTGGGATGCAGAATAGCTTGTAGTCTGCTGTCACTCTTCGATCGTAGTATGATTTCATTCATTCGGCAGCTTTCTGAGCAGGGTCCTTCAGACAAGACGTCGGCGTTTCCAGGTGCGGATCCCTTCTGATGATGGATAGTTATGTCCTCTGACGCTGAAAGCAGTTTTTTTGGTTTTTGAAGTCCAAGGAAAAATTGTATTTCCTTAAAAAGTCCAGTCCGAGTATGCAAGGATACATGTGGCGTGTGATGGTAAGCGGCACTTCTAAACATGATATTCCCGTTTAACTTCCCATCTATGTCTATTTTATCACGAGACGCAGTCTGGAAAGCAACACAGGATGGCGTCTAAATGAGTTTGTGTTGAAACTGTTGAGCTAAATGTTTCTGAATGATGCTAACGTTAGCTCCTGTGTCAACAATCATATTGCAAGAAATTCCATCGATATAGCCATCGATGGATAGTCCGTTACTGCCGCCGCTCACTGCAGAAATCTTGAGCGTTTTAAAATGGGGTTTTTCACTATCTTTCAAATTCCTCTCCGCGATATGATCATTAATTTGCTTCCTGCGTCGTTGTTGGGAAATGGTCTCATTTTCCGTACTCTGTGGTTTTCCGCAGTTCTTTTTGTACGTGGCATTCAGCTGCGCAGTTCCAACACTTTGGCTTCTGGTCAGTCCTTTTCCGTGTCATGGCATTTAATTGTTCGTTTAACTGGTCTGTCTTATTTTCCACGCTCTGGGGTGTTCTGTAGTTCCTTTGTATGTGGCCTACAACACCGAAGTAACAGCACTTTAGTGTCGGTTTCTTTTCACCAATATTCCGTCTAAAAGCATTCACTGGATTAGTTTTATTTTATCATCCGTTTATTGCGGTGTTCTGCAATGCCGTCGTATGTGGCTTTCATTACTACATTTCCAACACCTTAGAGCCCCTTTGTTCTCACTCCTACTCCGTATCAAAGCATTGACTTGTCTGGATAAATCTTCTAAACGAGCCATCAACTGATTCACTGGCTCGTGGACTCGCACAGCTCTGACTGGGTACCGATATCTACTACTTGCTTGCTGGGCTACCTCGAATTTGATGGCGTACAGTTGAGCGCGTTTTAAATCTTTAACATCGCAGAGCTTTCTGTATCAGGATCCCGGATGCCGTCGATAAAGTATTCCAGGGACAGGTTTTTTCTTGTTTCTGTCTGGCACTCCGAAAAGGCGATGTGAGACAGCCTTTCAAAATCTGTGGCGAGCTCCTGGAGTGTTTCGGTGGGGTTCTGTTGACGGGACTTTAATTGAAGCCTGCTGTAGTCTTTTAAACATTGCTCGCCGAAGCGCAGCTCCAATTTGCCGGATAAAGCTTCGAAAGCTAGCCTTTGGTTTTCTGGAAGAGTTTGAAGGATATCCGCAGCGTCTGCTCTCAAAGAAGCGGTGAGAGGACAGTCCTTAGCTTGGGAATCTCATCCATTCGCATCCGCAACTACAGAAAACTGTGTCTATATACTTGCCAGGAGGTCTTCTCATCATACGTGGTTAGCTTCAGAGACAGACGAGCAGGCAAAGGTAAAAATTTTAAATCACCACTACTGCTCCCTGCCATCGCTACGAATTTCTTCAAGGTATCAACTTCTTGACGATCGCAGCAACAATGTCATCAATTTGTTATTCAACGGCAGAAGCTCTATCTTCTGCTTGTTGTTTTACAGAATAAACCATTTCTTCTATTTGTTCTTTTACAGAAGAAACTCTTTCTACAATGTGTCCAACTTTATATTTTCAACAGCTTCAGTTCTGCCTTCCATAGCCTCGAATTTGTTTTCTATTACGCAGGTAATTTCTATTTTCATTTCCCCTTGACCTGCTTCAATCTTTCTCGAACAGCCTTCATTTCTTTTTTAACAGATACTTGACCAGCTACCATTTTTCGTGACCCGCCTCATCTCTTCTTTAACGGAATCTTTCATCTCTTCTTTAAACGCAGCAAAAGCTGCCATGAGTTGCCTTAACAGTTCTTCCATCGCTGTTGTGATTGGCATTCAAATCCCACTTCTGACACCAAAAAGTGTAGTGTGCGTCATAAGTTGAATGCACAAGCCTGATGATGAGCAAATAAAATTTATTTTTATCACAACAAATAAAACAAAATGCTGAAATATCCTCAGAGATATTCGTACAATATCGCAATATCTCACAGTAGTTATATTTTAAACTACTAAAAACGTTTTCTGGAACACAATTCAAAACAGAGAAACGTATCGAAAGCTAATCCGACCAGTAAACAACAACAGTTTTCTAAACAAGTTATCAAACAACTGAATTGAGATGTTTTGCTCCAGCTTTTATAAGCTGTTTAATCACGCAAGAGAATCTTCTCGATTAAATGTACGTGCTCCTGTATTTTAATTTTTTTCTCCGGCGTAGTTTTCTCCTCAAATAATTTCCTGCATTGCACGGGAATATAAAACAATTTTAATTAAAAATTTTACTAAACATCTCTAAATAAATACAAAAACCGTAACAATATTTTATATGACTCCACGTGTTCTGTATTTTTCTCTTTTCAAAGTAGAGTATTTCACAGGGACTTATACTTTTTTTACAGTGTTTTATGAAAAATTCAAAACCATGAAATATGCTGTTTTATGAAATTCCGTTTAAAACTGCGGCAGTACCCTTTTTCACTTCCTCATCTAAATAGTGTTTATGCTTGGTTTTGAAACAATAATCGAAATTATCCGTAGCAAAAGAACTTGCAGCTTGCAATAATATGCGTTTAACGCTCCATAGAAACACTTAGTTCTCTTGACGTCAACAAAACATTTGCATAATAGGCTTATTTTTTAAAAAATTTGAAAAATAACCTTAGTGTTAAATATAATACTTGTCAATTTTTTAAAACTATTATTAAAATGTAAAAATTTGGTGTTAAAATTTTAACTAAAAATGTTGTGTTTCTTATATAAAATGAAATTTAATATCTAGTTAGTTTTTAAGGCCCACTAGCGGCCGAGCGGTAAAGTCCTTGCATACTGTTAGTTCGATCCGAAATTAGAATCCCACGAACGGGCTGGCTGCATGGGCGTTTTTGTGGTTTTCCCCATGTATAACGCCAGTTTCCCTTAGAAAATCTTCAATGAAGGTTCAATCCCCTTCCGTGTAGTGCCTTTAGGGAGGGAACATGTAAATAATAATAATAGTAAATTTTATAAGAAAATATATTAGTTGTACAAAAGAAACAGTCATCCTTTATTTATTTCAAATTGCTTAAAAAGTAAAAACGTTCTAAACATACAAATTACACTGTCAACTTTTCAAAACTCATGGAACAATTCCAAGGAGTCTGTAAAATTTTAATTTAGAAAAAAAAAAAAAAAAAGTCATCATAGATGTGAAACCCTAGTTGGATTATATTTCGGTGGAAGGACGTAGCTTAACTAATTGCCTTTTCCATTCAGTTTTACAATGCTTTTGCCCTAAATTTATATTATACTTTCTTAACATATTTGCTTACATGGTTTATATCTTCCTTATTTATCGTCAAAGAATCTTCAAAGAAGTTGAAAGTTTGCTTTTTTAAATAGTTTTCTCTGTTGTTATGCTTATGAAAATGAAACAAACATTAAAAATTTAAGGATCAAAGACAGATGTTATCGCGGTCTTCGAACAGTGATATTAGATATTTTTACACAGAAAATTTTTATCGAAATTAAATTGCCACAATTATGCTGAGAATATTCAGAAATAAGTACAGATATCTGACGATTAACCGGGAAAGGATAAATCGGGTTTCGTATTAACAAGGTCTTGTCTAAAAAAAGATTAAAATTCGTTAATTGAGTATAGACGGAAAAATTACTTTCACAAACCATCATAATGAAGTAAAATTTCTACGGGCAATATAAAAAGGAGAAGAATATACGTGAGATAGAATCAATGATAACATAATATTTAGGAAGTGGTTTTTATCCACCACAGAGTGTAATTTAATTGCATATAATCTGGGATACGTAAATATTGCTAAATCATCCATTAAATATAATTTGCTAAAGCTGAAAAGAAAATTAAGTGCGTAGTGTGCAGATATAAAACTTCTGTTTCTCATCGATTAGTAGTATGTCGGAATTGCCTCGAAATTTAAGAGTAATATTAACAAAAGCATTGTTTTTTCTGTTTTAACTGAGTTTTTCTTGGTTTGAATGCTGATCTAATTTACATAATAAACCTATTTTACAAATTAACTAATTAAAAATACTGGTAAATTTTTACTGTTATTTTCTATTAGCTATAATATAGGTTATTTTTCTTTACTTATTTTTGTAGCTGCTGTTAATTTATCATGATTTAGGGTTCACCAGGAATGTCCTCTCCCGCATTAGCCCAATTAATCAGAAGTCTATTGTATTTGAACCTTATAATCAAAAATAATTTGCAATAGGCATTATATGAGCTAAACACATTTTCGCGCCTTTTGAGCAAGAATCATTGCATATAAAAAAACGATTTATTTCTATATATAAAATTCGAAATTGTATTTAATCAATATCTTAGTTGAATGGCAAACAATATATGTAATCAAAAAATTTGTCTTGTACTGTTATTTTCAACATGTTTCTTCTCAAATGTCTTTTGAAACAATTAATTTTAGCTGCGTCTCGGGGAATTTAAGTGGCTGTCATATAATGATGTGAAAGAACGAGTTGATCATATTAGCAAAGGTTTGTTATCACTAGGAATACAGTCGAGACAACCTGTAGTGCTTTTGGCTGAAACTAGGATAGAATTCATTCTAACAGCACAAGCTTGCTTCAGTGTAAATATTCCAGGTAAGAATTCGTTTTATGCATTTTTGTTTCTTGGCATAGTTTATTAATTTTTTTAAATAATAATAATTTTTTTAACAATAACGAATAATTTTGACTGCTTCATAAGGCTACAACAGCAGCAACAACAGTAGTAATAATAATAATTATAAAGGTCCTGCATTAATTTGGAACATGATTACATTTGCTGCAAAATTCAAACAAACATTTTTTATGCACACATTAAATTAAGCCCATGTTTAATTATTAAGTGTTCAAAGAATATAGTGTTACTATTAATTTAAAAAAGAATCGTCGTTATTAAAAAATTTTTTCAGGTACATGCCATTTTAATTCTCTGCGTGGCCGCAAAATTTATACATGTTAATGTACTTTAAACAAAACCTAAATTGGAGACTTATTTTTCATATTTTGGTGTCTATATCTCCAGCATTTAGCATAGCACTAAATATTTGATATGAATTTTTAAATTAGCATGGGGTTGTATATCTTGAACTAGGTTGATTTCCTTTAATAGACAAATAAAGTATATAATTCTTTTTAAATATGAAGCAGGTTCAAGTTGTAGAAATTATGAGGCTTTACGGAACCGAGAAACGTGAGAAATCAGCTAGGTTAGAAAGATGGATCTTCCAGCTGTTATTTGGATAGTTTACCAGTTACACCACAACAGCACGCTCGAGGAAATTCCTTATATTTTCTCCCACTTCAAGGGCTCAGTTGACTAAATACTTGTGGTAACAAAATATCGTCCACCACATTTTAGTTCTGTCACCATTTCAGAAAGTATTAAATTTTTTGGAGCTCAGAAACTTGAAAAATCAGCTTGTTATCGCCAAAATTCAAATCATAGACCTTCCAATTGCTATCAGAATGTACTTCTGTTTACACCTAGCGAACACGTATGGGGGATGCACTGATTCGTTATTAAATAAATACGCGAAAAAGAGAGCCCGTGGATATAGGAGTATTTTAAATAGGCATGCACTGCTATTCGTAATAAAAACAGTTCGCGATCTTTCAAAGGATATGTCAGCAATAACAGCGAGCTATCTCTTCTGATTCCACGAAAGCATTCTACAAATAAGCCAAGGTATGATTACTTTTCCTGGGTAGTAAAAGGTATTTCTTACGAGTTCCAAAACAAGTTAATAGTTGGAGCGCTGTTCGTTGGGATTGCAAAGGTCTTTATATCTGGTTGATTGAACTTAAACACAAATGGATACGATTAATAAACACTCTTTTGCAAAAATGGACACACACACAGAAAACAAAACAAAACAAACAAACAAAAAAAAAAAGGCGCACCATGAAGAAAGTGATTGTTTTTATTGCTTTTGAAATTCGATATGCGTAAAACTCACACACGGATCATGAAATGGCTATATTCCAAGGTCATAGGACCCATCAATGGCTAACAATTGCACACTGAATGTTCAAATCAATAAGTGATGAAAATCCGCTGGCGACGATGTATACGTTGAGGCAAAGCGTGATAACGATTCCTAATCTCATTCTGCGAGGCATTCTGCTAGGCATTCCTCAATTATAGCTCTGCGACATTTTGAGATGTCTGAATCTGGCGGTCTATGATGTCCCATACATGTTCTACTGGCGAAAGGTCTGGCGACCTTACTGGCCAAAAAAGACAATCAGCAACTAGAAGACATTCCGGTGATATGCGAGCCGTATGGGGTCTAGCATTTTCCTGTTGGGAAAGGGCTCCGGGATGGCATGTCATGTAGCGTAACTCAAATAGTTGCAAGATGTCATCAATATATAGTTGAGCGGTTAAAGTTAAATGTAGAATGATTAGGGCCGACTTACTGTCATAAGATATAGCACCCCACATCATCACATCAGGCATCATACAGAGACTGTGTGCCTTTGAAAAACAAGGGTGATTGGAACTGCAGATCCTGGCGACCCGAACCCGTTGATCATCTACTCCAAGACTGAAGAGGAATTTTTATTGAATACTATGCGATGCTAATCGGCTGGCAACCATGATGATTGGCTATGACACCACTCCAAATGACTTTGTCAATGCTATGTGGTTAAAGGCAGACGTCTTAAAGGTTGGTGTGAGGGCAACTCAGCTTCAACCAAGCGCCGTGAGATGGTGGAAGATGCCCCGTGTAGTATGGAAGAGGCTCTAACACGCTGGATAGGGGACAATGATGCAGCTGGGATAGTTCGGATCTCTCACGAGTCATCTGATCTTGCCTCGCATTTATGCATCTTCGCCTTCGAGCGTTGATTCCGCCGATGAGTACCTTTGCACAGTCATGGCCATAAGGTGCAAGTGACAACCCATTTCGGTATGACACGTATCGGTATTCTGTACAGGTATTGCTCGGTATGATTAGCCCGCTTTACGCATCCCTACTATGCGAACACTTTCAAAGTGGTCCAATTGTCTATAAAGTCTTCGACAACATCGTAATGGCATTATTGGTTTTGTCTTCAGGGAACTACAACGCCGAGAACGAGAAAAGATAAATCGTCCGGATCTGTTATCTGTTTTATATGATGTTAACTGCGTGGTAGAAATGCGCGCTATGAGTGCAGTTAACATACACTGGCCCTGAAAATTTAATCACTTAAATACTTGGTATGAAGGAATTTGCACACAAAACTTCAAGATGATGGGATTATTTTAAGAGTGCTTCCTTCTTTTTCCAAAAGAGTGTATACATATACACGAATCATTAGGATTCCACGCAGACTACATCACACTTAAATTAGTTCTTGCCTAAAAAATAGACACTTTATTCTTGGTTTACGCAACGCATACTTTACATACCCTATGCCGGTCAGCGCTTCATAGGGTTCTTCACTTACTCCTAGGCTATTTAGTAGCCCTGTTAATTATATACCACATATACCTAACACTTATCATGTGTGTTCACGATACTGCGATATTTACTCAAAATGCTTTTTAACTTTGAGTGCACAACTCCATCAAATATATATAAGTGCATAAAAGTCCTGGCTGATTGTTTGGAAAATAAAAATGAAAGTTAAAAAAAAAAAAAAAAAAAAAAAAAAAAAAAAAAAAAAAAAAAAAAAAAAAAAAAAAAAGAGCTGCTCTACTATAATAGTAATACTAACTTAGGCATGTTTGAATATCATTATGCTCTGATCGAAGCAGATGTGGGATTTATTAATTATTCTAGGTCATCATCTCATGTGAGTCCTGCATTAAAAAGACAGTAATACTGATCATCTCTCTAGCTTCAAAGTAGAATTTCTAGTGCCAAATCTGATTTAAATCCAAGGCCTAGCTTAAGCCATTTTCAGTGTTGCAGAAAATTGTCGCCAGCAAGAGAAGCAATGACATACAAAACAAAATAAATAACTAAAATTTATTTATCATGTTATTATTCCGCAAACATAGCAAACAAATTACAACACAGAGCAATAGTACCGTTTGCTTGAGGAAAAAACAGAGGTCCTCAAACAGACAACAAATAGAGTTCGCTTTCCTAATCGAACAGGCCCACCAGCGGCCGAGCGGTAAAGTCGCTGAACACTGGTAGTTCGGTTCGAATTCCACGAACGGGCTGGCTGCATTGGCGTTTTCGTGGTTTTCCCCATGTGTAACGTGTACACGAGCCAGTTCCCTTAGAAAGTGCCTACACGAAGGCATTCCCACTTAGGCAGATAGCCCTAGTGTGCTTTGCCATTATTAAATAAACCAAAACCTAATCGAACAAACACATGAAGTCTGATTATTTTAAACCAGTTTTAACTCACTTACTAGTTTCTACCAAGTTTTATTTATTAGTTTCTACAAACTAACCTGTGAGAAAAGACACAGACAGAAAGAATTTAATAGCGGTGAGCAAATTTTTCAGTCAGAAAGCAGTTCGCGCTGTTCATTAGTTACAGTCAAATATCAAAGCTAATTCCTTCATTAAATATCAAAACTCTCATTAAGTGTCATTCTCAGGTAAATAAATTTTGCATAATCTCTGCATTGTAGATATGAGTGTACTGGAAAACAAGACCAGGACCGAGTAAGAACCAAAAATTACCGTTAAGAAAAGTCAAGTGCTAGCAAAAGTAGTAACATAATTGTCTCAAGAAATTTTTTAAAAAGAGCGTTCTTTCTGCAAGTTACTGATCTTCAAGAGTATATTACATCTCATCCTCAGTTAGATTTGTCTTATGTAGGTTTTTGCGAGTGAATCTCATATTCAAAAACTACAATGCAAAATGCTTTACCTTATGTTGTCAGCAGTTCTTCCTGTTTTAGAAATGACTTTCATTTTCTTATATTTTTAAACCAAAATTCTTAAAAGGTTTTTAAAAAAATTCCTACAAAGAACAAGCGATCAGTTCTAGTCACTAATTATGTTATTAATAACAAATATATTAGACGATTCTTTCCGCTGTTAGACGCTAGTATCTAAATCTTTTAATTTCACCAAAATCTGAATTTTTCTCTTAGTCTACATTTTAGAAATGTACAATAGAACAGTGTATGATGAGCATAAGGATATGCGTCCATGTTAAAGTTACTCATGGTCAAAAGAAGCATTTTAAAACAAACTTTCATTAAGTGCAGTTATTATTTTTTCTTTTTGTAAGTTAACTTTCGGATGTATAGAATTTCTGACATTTTAGATTTTTTACTTTTATGTTTCTATCCTCGTAATCCCTTTCTTTTTTGCAATCGAATTTAGTTGTGACATTGTACGCCACACTTGGAGAAGACGGCTTAATTCATGGAATTACGGAAACAGAAGTGACACATATAATAACTTCAGTGGAACTGCTACCTAAACTAAAGGTATAGTAAAAGTAAATTTTCAGAACTCTTATATTTGGAATAATTATTCAACTGGTATGCCATGCTTGAATTATACTAAAAGTGTTAATGCATTTAAAGTGCAGCAAACTATGATGCCCAAGGTAGTACTCGAAATAATCGTAAACATATCTATAAAGCCTGGATGTTTAGATATGAAAGTTTTAAAAAATGTAAAAAACAAAAAAACAGAAAAAAGGCTCTAGACTTGTTAAAACGTTGTTTCATGTAATTTGGAACAGTTTAATCAGAATACACAAGTCTTCTCAGATATCATTAAAATATTTCTACAATGAGGAACGAAAAAACTTAAAAAACACTTACTAAGCGACTTTTTTTAAACAAAAATAACAATTATCTACTTTACTGCTTTATATTAGGGAAATTCTTTGTTTTCAACAATAAATGCTCTTCAAGAGGAAAACTAAAAAAAAATATTTTCGAAACGGTGATTCCCAATTATATCAGAATTGAATTTATTATTTAGAATTAGTTTGTTAAAAGTTAAACATTATAAATTTTCGCTTTCTAAAAATATAAACTTGGTTCTTTATTAGTTGTATATCGTTAATAAGAATATTCCTTTTTCTGCTACAATGCAAGGTCTTTTAACTGAAGTAAAAAAAAGTATGAATGCTATTTAATAAAATAGTTGCATTTGCAAATGCAATCCAGAATTTTTTAATTAATGGTAAACGTAAAAATGATTATGAAATTTTGAAATTCTTTTAATAATGAATCTCATATCATATCAGATTTTTATTTTTATGTATCAATATTATCTTAGAGCATTTTACATCGAGTACCTGCAGTTACTCATATAATTTATATGGAAGGTCTTTCATCTCCATCAACAGAGAATCTGCCTTCAAGTGTAAAACTCATTTCTTTCTCTGAAATGGAGGAAAACGGAAAAACGCTTTCAGGTAAGAATCAGAAACTGATTTATTTACAATCTGATAGAATAAGAGTTCATTTCATAATAGTGTTATTTAAATTTGCAATAAAAAATCAAATTTGCTTTTTTAAATATAAATCTTTTTGAAATAATGCTTAACAGATAAACTACTTGAAGAAAAAGCAACAGTTGATGGGAAATCCAAACTAAATTGGTTTATTCGAATTAAGGAAAAGCAGAACAATTCCAATTAACCAAATTAAATTCTAAATTAACTCTTTTGCTGATACTTTACACCAAACAAAATGAACAATCAAGAAAATTTTATGAAAATCCTTTACCGCAGTAAAAAGAGTGTTCGTATGTTATCATCTTCACCATGTTATGAAACTAAATTAACAGAAATGTCCTTAGTTATTTGTTAAAACAAAAGAAAAAAGTTAAGGAAATAAATGTGTGTGCAACATCAAGCCTTAAAATAATGGAAGGATCAAATCAATTATTATGAGATGAGAACATAATGATGAATCTCAGCTTCATGGTTGACTAAAATAACAAATTTCTCTCATAGAAGCAAAGTTAACCCCTTAAATGCACCAAAAAATTTCAGAAAGTGGTTTTCTTTCTGCCAATTTTTTTATTCTTTATTTTAACTCAACCCCTATTTCCGGGGGGGGGGCTAAATTCTTGAATGTATTTACTCGGGTGCGCGGAAATAATCTAATTGGCTGTAACCGAGCTAACTCGGTTGAGTGCATGAAGAGGTTAAACCTTTTTTAATCTTTAAACAGCAAAGTTCTAGCATGCACTACATAAGCCAAAATTTGACGGAAGTTCTACCTTAATTTATACTTTCGTGAAACTTAACACATTTTTTTTTCAACTTTCAGTTTGTAGAGACCTTAAGTATTTTTTGGAAGCAGGAATCATGAAAAATGAGCAACGCCCTCGCCGGGAATCGAACCACGGACCTCTTGAATACCGGCTCAGCTTGCAGAACCACTACACCACGAAGGCACGCTAGGAAGGCGGAGAAATACCTTATATACTCCCCCTTTTAAAGGGGCGAATGGGGTTTTTAGGGGACCCAATCGCCAAATTCTGGGTGTGAAAATTCATGATCCACCACCCTTTCAGTTCGGACGCCACTGTAGAGACATTAGGATTTTTTTTTGAAGCAGGAGGCTTGAAAAATGAGCAACGTCTTTGCCGAGAATCGAACCACAAAACCTTTGGAATAGGCGCCCAGAGTGCTGACCACTACACTACGAAGGCATGCTAAGAAGGCGAGAGAAATACCTTATAAGTTCATAGCGGAAAACAGGTTTCGTTTTCAATACCAGTTGCTGATAAATATGAGACGATATGATAATCTAACTAGCTTTAAAAATGTCAAACGAGAGGATCTAGTTAGCTAATATAATTCGCTCTCATTTACACTCATGTCCATAAATTAAGGATTATTCGGAGTCACGCGGAAATCGAACTCTAAAATAAATATATCACCTGTAAAATCACTACACACATCTTCAAGAATCATATGCAAATTTCAGGAAGTAACCAGATGACACCGATGGTACGTCACAATGACGAGAGTGTAAGAGAGTGATATATAAGGAATACAGGCAAAGAAGTAAAATTGTTCGCAGGCGCTTTATAAGCATTTCAGTGCAATAACCGAATAGTTGTGACACAAAGGACGCATTTGGATGATGTTTTACGTGGTAGAATTATCGGCCGTCTGGAATGTGGGCGTACCCAACTGGAAGTATCAGACGAACTTGGAATTGCCCAGAGTGTCATCTCCAGGCTTTGGCAACGATTCCAAGATGATGGTAATGTGAGTAGACGTTACAGCACAGGTCGCCCCAGAGTTACAACCGAATGAGGACCGGTATTTGGCAGTTACTGCCAAAAGAAACAGGCGGAGCACAGCCTCAGACCTGTCTCTTCAGCCACTGTTACGACAATTTCAAGGCAGACCGTGTACAGACGCTTAGGGCAGATTGGTCTATATGCTCGTAGACCTGTCAGATGCGTTCCACTTACTGCAACTCACTGTCGCCTGCGGTTAGCCTGGAGTAGAGAGCATGCATTGTGGACACCGCAACGGTGGGCTTGAATGACGTTTTCCGACGAGTCCAGGTTTAGCTTGCAGTCTGATTCTCGCCGTACTTTCATATGGAGAGCTCCAGATACCCGTTACCACCAAGAAAACATCATTGAATGACACCGTTACGGTGGTGCAGGAGTGCTCGTTTGGTGTGGAATTATTCTGAGTGGAATTATCCAGCATTGTCACCGGACTTGAATCCAGTAGAGCACGTGTGGGACATGCTTGGCCGACGAGTTGCAGCCCGTCAACCTCCTCCTACATGTCTACCGGAACTTCGGAGAGCATTGCTTTTTGAGTGGTGTAATATCCCCCAAGATCAGATCGATAGTTTGATACTCAGCATTCCTAGTCGTTGTACGGACTGTATTACATCGTCTGGGAGACAAACAATGTATTAACAATCATACCAACCATGTAATATTGGTTTTTTGTAAATAGGTTTTTTTTTGTAATTTTCTCCAGGGAGAAAAAAATCGCTAATTTTTTTTAATAATATCAAACATATAGCATCTTTTTTTGCTTTTTACCTTTTGTTTAATCAATAAGCTTTACAAATAAGTAAAATTTGTTTTGCTTCTAACTCTTCCTTAATTATTATCCTTAATTTATGGACGTGAGTGTAAATATCAGAGAATCCTATTTAAATAGAGAATATTAAATATCTTCCTTCAAATGCATGAATAAAGTTACGTTTTTCTTCTTACAGACGTAAAATATACTCGAGCTGTAGCTGATGATCTAGCTATTATAATGTATACCAGTGGCTCAACTGGAGTTCCAAAAGGTAAATCTATACAGCCTTTATTTGCATACTAGTAATAAATACAAATCAGAATGTGCTGTTTATCAGTGTCACATTTAATTTCATAATATTTTATAATTATTAAATTAAGCACATTTATTCCTAATTTATAAAAATGTGGGAGTTTTTAGGATGATTTAAGATACCTATACATACGAACTCTTATCCTTAAATCCTGCAATTATTGTTACCTAATTCTTAGTAAGTATGCATTAGCTATTTTCACTGCCCTAAAAAGGGTAATTAATTATGCATGCCACTTACGCTAAATCCTCGCTCTCTTCAATGATTTAAAGATGTCTGGTTTATTTTAAAGATTGACGTTCAATACATTCCTGAATATCACTGTGAAGAGGTAATTTCCTACACTTTGAATGTCATATGATTATTATTACGCGTGGTTGAACCTTACATAATGCTGGTCTGAACAGCGGGGATCTGTACATAAAGAAATTGTTTCCAATAAACATATTGGAAAAACTGATGGAAATATGAGGCAATTTAGAGCAAGAATTAACATACAAATCTCATAGTTTATTGCTATAAAAAACTTAAGACACTAAAAATGCTATAAATGCATACAACTGAGTTAGATACAAAACTATTTTATCATGTCACAAAATAAATAATAAATATAGATCTGTGATATATAGTATGACAATAAAGTTCGATGAATATGTTCATAAAAGACATTCTTGCCTAAATTCAGAAAAAACATTTTATTCTCCTTCGAAGTAATGCTCGTTGTTTGCTACGCGCTTTTGATAAAGAGTGTACGGTTCTTGAAAACTGCGGACAAAATCCTCTTTCGATATCGCATGGAGAGTCCTCGTTACTTTACTTTGAACTTCTGGAAATCCGACTTCAGTTTCGGGTGTAACACATATTTGGGGTTTAATTAAACTCAGCTAGATCAAATACAAATTATCTAGGCGTTACTTCGATTCTTTAAAAGACTTTTTACCACTAGAAAAAATAAACTCTTCAAGAAAACAAAAACAGACATAAACAGACCAGTCATCTGAAAGTGGCAAATTTTCTGGCAAACAAATTTTCTTTAAACTGTTTCTAATTACAATACCTAATTTCTTTTAACGTAGGCTATAATTTTCGCTGATGATTTCTAATAGTAACTCAGAAATTCTGAACTTACCAACCAAGCCTCTGCTGATGTTTTCAATCTGATGCGAGGCAAGAGACAATCGCCAAGAGACAGAAAAACCGACACACATTCGATGGTCAAGCCAAACTCTGCCACAATTATGAGCTTTACCTCTAACTTTATAATAAAACTGCATGCTATCCACGTCTGCATAAATTCTAAAACGAGTAAACCTTGCGGGCAAATAAGGCTATAGGAAAGAGGAATATTAAATAAACTTGAATTAAAACAAGTGAAAGTCAAACACAAGCCACACAAGAACTGTTGAAGGAGGATCAGGTAGTATGGTGGATGATCTAGAGCTACAGTTCTCCTACAGGCCATAAACTGTTTGAAAACAAAGGCCTAATCATAGAGAAACAACCAACAAATCATCTCCGTGTTTTCTGGAGTTACACGAAGGATCATTTACAATAAATCTGTTAGAGCATCCTTGTTTTTATTAGCATTCATTGTTGCTCTTTGGGGCCAACTTCATCTTCAATATTTCAATGTTTTCGTCACTACTAGTGTAGAGTCTTTAGGTATTTTTTAAAGCATGAAATATGAAAAATGAGCAACACCTTCGCCGGGAATCTAACCAAGAACCTCTGGAATACGCGCCCAACGTGCAGATCACCACACCACGAAGGCATGCCAAGAAGGCGGGAGAAATACCTTACATACTCCCCCTTTTAAAGGGCGACTAGGGTTTTTAGGGGACCGAATCGCCAAATCCTGGGTGTGGAGAATCATCATTCACAATCCTTTTAGTTCAGGCGCCACTGTAGAGTCATTAGGTATTTTTTTAATGCATGAAAGATGAAAGATGAGTAACACCTTCGCCGAGAATCGAACCATGGACTTCTGGAATACGCGCCCAGCGTGCAGACCACCACACCACGAAGGCGGGAAAAATAACTTATACTAATACGCCGCAAGCCTATGACTTTGAGAAGCGTTTCCATTGCAATACCATTCATACTAAAATCCTTTAAACATTTCATAAACACATGTAGAAGACACATCTTGATCTCCATAATCTTGTTTTGTCAGGTCCTGAATTTCTTTCACAGAGTTATGAAGCTTGGAACAAAACTTTCGATTCGCCCGTTGATCCATTTTACAGCCACTGCTACATCTTTGCATATTAGAGTGTTGCTAAAAGAAATGTGTATTGCTTAACACTACTTGTTGCTATCTCATATTCAAACACGTTACGAAGTATCTTTTCCCCACTTCGTTGTTCGTCCATTTCCACGCGTGTACCTACTACAAGGTCTTCCGCTCAACTTTATTCTCATAACTTGTAAAAAGGTTAAATTTACCAGAGTTAGCATACAGTACTTAGAAATTGTACTTGATGTCATTCGTAGTGAAAAAGATAAAAGCAGAAATAAAGAAATCGTAATCTGCGTAAAGTTAAATTCTTTCGGTTAACACAAATACTATGAGAATGTGCATGAAATGCAGTATGATACTGATAATTTCAGCATGAACGCTTTGTGAATGTAGTAAACTGACTATTCTAGTAAAATATGAGTTATCAGAAATTTTAAAGATTTTTGATCGACTGAAAATGACGCCAAAGAAGTCACTCAAATTACAAAAGCAACTGGCGGAAAACGACTTTCAGGTATAGAAGAAGGAGAAGTTAAAGAATTAATTAAGAAATGACAAATGAAAAATGAATGATTGATAACACAAACTAATATAACCAGTCAGCAATGAAAGCAGTTATAATGAAGAAGAAGATAAAGCACATTTAACTTACAAAAAGTTAAAAGAATTGTTTAAAAAGGTATAGGAACTACCTGATTTCGCAATACAGATTAACCCAAATGAAGAATTAAAAAGAGAACCATTTATGACAGACATTAAAGAACTCTACGCTCCTTACTGCGAAACTATTAAAGTGTTGAATCAGTCATTGTTCCGAGCAAAAATCACCAGCTTTTAAAAAATAATTGAATTGCGTACTTAATAAGCAGTAAAAGAAGTCTTTTCAGTTATCGTTTGTTTCGTTTTCCCTTTTAATCTGAATTATACCTAACAGAATGTTTTTCATAGGAAGTTAACTTTGAGGAATGAGATTTTACCGCACTCGCAATGCATAAATGGTATAACCCCTACGTTCTGCAAGGTTTTACTGTGCAAGGAAAATAAAACCATAGATGTAAACAGCGTTTGAATTAAATATTAGTGAAACACAACATAGTACATCATAATGAAGTACGTATGTTTTAGGAGTACTGAAAGTAATGCGAGACTTAAACGATCAAAATTAACAAGAAGACATGAAAAGTGATTTTCAAAACCCCTTTGAAAATATAATTGAACGTAAGCAGATAAATGTTTGGAGAAAACTTGGGGACAATATAAAGTGAAAGCATCTCAAAGAATAATAAGTCGGGATTTATGTTAGTAAATTATACACCTCGTAGTTCAGCCCTTCGAGCATTAAGGCAGAAACACGAACTTGGACTGAACCTAGTAAAGGAATTTGGATGAAAATAAATATAACAATTTTTTTAGACAAAAATCGTGCAAACATAGGTATAGAGATAATCCCAGATCACGTATGAAGAGCTCCAGAGGAAAAAAAGTTATAATAAGAGTCTCTACCCTGGGTTTATAAGTTTCTTGCTGGAATTGTGAATTTGAGTTGCCTGTTATCAACTGGGATGACAATTTTTTATTTGCTAGGCATGTAAATGTGAATCTTATTGACACATTTTGGAGTATTTTTTAAGTTCCGCCCTATTTTATTCCCGACTAGACAGTTTGTCGATCAGCCGTTTGGGCTTCTAGATCGTGTAAATATGAACATATAAATTCACTTAACCTTTAATTGGCACGATACGAGTCATAAGGACTCAAATATTATGTTTCACCTAATTACTTTTCTGATTACTTGAAGAATACAATGCGTATAGTGATATGATTAATTCACTATTTGATCTGAAAATAATAAGTGCATTTTATTTTAAGATAAATTTATTAATCATTTCCATGAGTAACAGATGTTGTATTTAAAAAGTTCCAAGATAAACTATAAATTAATTCTGGTTCCATAAGACTAAACCGCACCAATTACGCACAGATATTTTACCATACCAGTTAAACCTTAAAACCAGGATAAAATCATATCGTGTAATAGTATAAGTTACATAATTTAGTAATGAGTCTATGTTCTCAAACATTCTTTCACTTTTCTTTCAGTTTTTTTTTTAGAAAATCTGGCATGATAGTTCATTCATCTACAGGAAGGTTTCTAAACCAGGGAGGGGGAATTTCATAATTTTAGGCGGGATGCGATCAGCCTTTTATTTATCCGTTAAGAATTTAATTTCATGTTATGGATAAAAAAAAAGAATTTTTATTCAAGTTTGAGTTTTATCAAACTTTTCTATACTTTTTCCCTTGCTTAATTTATAAAACTCAAATTTATAAAATAATCTAAATTTAATAAATGTAAATATAGGGTTTGGAGTTTCGTTAAGGAGGTGGGATGATCATCTAGTAGTGGTGAAAGGGGTGCATGGGGCAAAAAAAGTTGAGAACCACTGATCTAAAGAGTACTGATCCTTTCCTGCATATTGCAGTATTTGTTGATCCACCCGAAAAAACTAAATCGCTGAAAGAAAGAAAAATTAGTGATATGAAAAAAACAGAAACTTTAATTACAAAACATTAATACATGAAACGTTACCGCTTCTTGCTCAATCTGTCTTTTTAGAAGCACAACGAGACTTCCCGTGTGAGTATTTCGCATCTGTTAATATCACTTTCTTCAGTTTGTTCTCAAGGGCTCTATGTGACCATCTCTACGATTGTGTTCAAATAATTCTCCGCAGTCGACGACATCCTATGACAGAAGTCATTTAATTATGTCTCATACACTCATAGCTATCAAAACATTTAAATTTCGCGCATTAAAAAATAACACTCTTCAGGAGCTCCTTTCCTGACACGTGCTGCATACATGCATACACCATCTTGTAAATCTTTATTCTTTAGACATAAATAATCAAATGCGTTGTAGAGAGATTGCGTAGAATACAGTTTCAAGATGAATAATGCTAAGAAGATTGATCCGCGATCATTGCTAACCTAGATTCCAGTTGTGAAAAACACTATATGATCTTTAGGCATCTTATTCAACATATCAGGTTCTGTGTTCCTCCTTACTTGCTTAGGAAACATTAACTGTCCTGACTCGGAACAGGGAGCTTACTAAAGCTATGTTCAATAATTTTGGGAAGTAGACAATACACACAGGAAGGGCATACGAAACCCTTTATTTTTCTATCTTTACAATGATTTCCGGACTTCGGAATACAGAGACCAACCACTTGTGGTCTGAACGTAAGAATATAAAAAGATTAACTAAACTCTAACTAAACTAACTTTGGATTAATCAAACAAGTGCCTAACTCCAAGATTGGCCGTATATTTATTTAACAAAAAGCCGTATGTAGTACAGAGAACTGCTAACACCACGATACGTTTAAAATTATCAAGAGGATTAAACCTCTGGCCTTGAAGGCAACCAGCAACCGCGTAAAACTACTATGGCAAGCGGCCTGCTTCTAGTAACTCCTTCCTCTCTCTTGCTTGGCAAAAAGCCACAACTTAAGTACTTGGCGTTAGCAAGACAATTTGCATAAATAAGTTAAAGCTTTTAATTCTGGCCGGAAGTAGAAAATAAGAAGTGATAGTAAAGATTTAAAACAAAATAAACGTTAGTAAAACTTAGGATCCTTACAAACAGACGGATAAAACATGCAAAACTCACGTATTTAGAAATAAATCGTTTAATATTTCTTATCTATTTTTTACGTTGCTTATACGAATTTCGGATTAAACGTCGCTACATTAGCAAAAATTGGTAAACATGTCAATATCTGATATACTCTTAAATACACTAAAAATATCTTACGTAACAGATAATAGTATTTAACTGATAAATAAATTTACTACTCGATTCTTAAGAGATATAGTTAGGAAACATTGATATAATTACATAATAGATTAGGCTAATTGATTAGGGCAAAGCAAGTCGAGGGCTATTTGCCTATGGGGAAGTGTGCCTTCGTGAAGGATCTTTTTAAAGGAAGTTGGCTCGTATCGAGGTAACATATTAACAAAAATTAACCATGCAGTCAGCACGTTCATCGGAATTCAAACCCAAGTTTAACTACCAGTCTTCAGTGACTTTTACCTTTCGATCACGATACTCTCGATACCTGTACTCTTGATACTCTCGATACCTGTACTCTTGATACTCTCGATTTCTTATCTTTATCTCGATACTCTCGACTTTTACCTCTCGATCGTACCTTAGAATTATACATGCTTAAATTTAAAGATGTCGAGTCATTTTATTCACACCAGGAAGAGGTGAGCGTTATTTATGTGGCCTGTCAACAAAGGTCCATCCAATCGACTTTGTAAAAGTTTTCAGTTAATTGTATTTCATTATTTCTAAAGGATGGCAGGATAATGCATCATATGAAATGGCAAGCTTCTAAATGCTCGAGATCAGAGCAGAAATCAAAATGAAGGCAATCGATGTAACGCACTCACTTTTAAAGCTGCGGTGAACAGGATGACCCCAGACTCAATAGTAAGGATAGGAGGTTAAACAATTGTTTCCATGAAGCTGTCGGATCCAAAATCACTGGTTATTCTCTGGACAGGACTCAGCAAAACAAACCATCGAGTTTGGAATCAAAACGACGCCGCATCTTCTTATGTTCTAGAAGAAGTTTTATATCCGCTTCAACAATCACTGGATTCGGTAAGTTGTTTCCTTCACTTTTTTCCAGGTCATAGCTAATCGTACCTCTATTTCTAACTCCCGAAAAACATTAAGCTCTATATTTTTTATTCAAGACAAAAGCGCAATTAGTCAGCCGGATCTCTACACAATTTTCTTTCTCACTCTTTACATCTTTCTTTTCTTCGTCCTTCTTCCTTTTCTTTTTCCTTTGTTTTCTGGCTCACCAGCGGTCGAGCGGTAAAGACGCTGAACACTGGTAGTTCGGTCCGAGGTTTGAATTCCGCGAACCGGCTGGCTGCATGGGCGTTTTTGTGGTTTTTCCCCCATGTGTAACGTGTATACGAGCCAGTTTCCCTTAGAAAGTCCTCCACGAAGGCATTCCTCCCTTTAGGCAGATAGCCCTCATGTGCTTTGCCATAATTGAATAATTCCAATCAATTCGTTTTCTTTTTCTCATATCGAAACAACTAAAACGTTACATCACTTATCTCTCTTCATTTCCCTTTTCTTTTCTTATCAACAACAATCTTGGTTGCCTCGCCCCGTGAACTAAATCACATTACGGGTCCACTCCCCCTTTGGGCACTCCGTGGAGGTTCAACTTCCACTATTACCCTTCCAGGGGAGCAGCGCACCACCTGGATATGACACCAGGCAGCACTGGTCGTCAATTGCTCCTGCCAGTCGCATGGGCGAGCCCGTCGCAGTGGGCCGTTACCCAGCGCTCAGGACATGCCAGACCCCGAGGCCGGCCAATAAGTGACCTTTTCCAAGGCCTTCAGAACCACCAAGTTCATAAATTTTATACCCCCGTGGCCGAGACTGCCTAGGTACAGATCCTAGCCAGTAGCTTCGCAGAATTCTCTACGTCGAGCCCCGGGGGGGGGTTCTTTTCTTATCAACCTCTTTTTTAGCAATTTTAGCACTATTTAACCGTTTATTAATTATCAGTCAAAACTGACATTTAGCGCAACCATGGTAGTTTTTCGTTCCTAAAGGTACCTCTGGAATTCAGTCAAAAAGAATTCAAAGGAAAAGTGATGCAAAGAAGACTACCACCTACGCCCGACAGAGAATCTATTTTTCATTTCCGTATACCTTTCGGCACGCTGAAGGAGATAAAGAGCAGTTTGCAAAGGACTAAAGAAATTTCGCATATGTTATTCATTTTCTTCAGTTCCAGACCACTTTGTATTTCCAACGAATCAGACGAAACTGCACAAAAGAGAATTTTTTCACAAAGCACCGTTTGTTAATTAGCACCGAATTCTCAATGAGGTATGAAACGATTTAACTAATTAAGAAAATAAGAAATTTCTTGATTTTACGACAAGGGCGAAAGAAAGGAAAAATATTATTCTATATTTTCCTCGAGACTGCTTTTTTATGAATCTTTTGCATAAGCATATTTTTTGAGCACTCAACAGCCTATCTTCTAGCAAACATATAAATCTATCCATTCTTCTTTTCAACAGGTCGAAAACAAAATAATTAATCCATAGGAAATATTTGACTTTCCCTAAAGTCATATTGCTACATAAAAATATATTATTATTATTATTGTTCTAGGAGTTATGATGACTCACAGGAATGTAGTTACAACCGTGAAAGGGTTAAACGGTGTTCTGAAACACTCGTCTCTGCAGTTACGGTGAGTTGGAATAATTTGTTTTTGGAATGATTAAAATTGGTTCTCATTTTTCTTTATTATATGTAAAAATTATGAAAGGCTATAAAAAGCTACAAATATTGCTATTTATCTTACTAATTATAAATTACAAATCTTGGTAATTACAGTCCATCAGTGTTCTCATGATATTGAGAAAGTATATCCGCTTATGTAGTCACACTGAAACTTGCTCATTATTAGATGCTGTTTAATACTTTGTTATTTATTATTCGTTGTGATGAAACAAGTTAAGAATTTATATTACAGAAATGAAATTATAAGTGAGAAAGAAATACTTACTTAGCCTTTTTATACTTTTATGCTTAAAATAAATAGTGGAATTTTTTTCATAAAATATTAATGCCAGATACAAGAGGAATCATAGATATATCATTACTGCAATTATACAAATAGCTTCTATACATCTTATCATTCTAAAATTTGTAAATAATTTAATAAAAATTCTAGTCTAAAATTTCTCTCTTTAAATTAATATTATAATTTAATTTTTCGCTTAATTTTATTTCATAATTAATTTTCCTATCTTTATTTATCTCTGTACGCTCCATTACTTGGAAAAATTCCCATTTTAAGCGTCTTTTAAGTTCTGCTGTTAATTTGTTTGAATGCTAGTGAGGTATGTGAAGTGTTTAGGAATATGCCGGAGGAAGGAAATGTATAAAAATATTCACGAACATAACCTTGTTTTATCATACTGAGAAAAGCCAAATCATTTTAAATATTGCATGCTATTTTCCTTCATTGATATTTCCTTTCATTTTGACAAAGTACCTTACTTTCTTCCTAATAGGGAAAGTGATGTTTACATAGCATACTTACCCGCAGCTCATATTTTGGAACTGGCATCAGGTAAGGAAAAAATCCAGTTTTCCTAAAGGAGATGATTGTATTACTTAAAGAGACCAAAGAAACACATTGTAAATTATAACACAACATGAAAGCCTCTGTCAAAAAAATGAGAATTCCGAATAAATAAATGAATATCAGAAATAAATGATTATATATAAATTTACGTAATGATCCTTACAAATGCACGATTTTCGCGAGAATTTAACTGAAAAGATCTGATCAGGGAATTAGCAGTGTTAAATTGAAAATTTGTGTTAAAAAGCTTGTGCTACTTAACATTATTTTAATATTTATTATTTTTTTAATTTTACTGCTATTTTAGCAGAAGGAAACTTTCAAAATTGTTCGGTTTGAAATACTTAATAAATTTAATTAATTTTTAATGTCTACCATTCGTGACAATTTAAATTTGACGGTGTATATACCGTATTCATACTGTTTCATACTGTTGTTTCTAATTTTCATTTTCATTTTATTTATTCATCAGAATGCTACTTGACTTCAGTGGGAGTCCAAGTGGGATTTTCATCTCCGCAAACACTAACAGATTTCGTAAGTGTTAGAAATGGACGATATGAATAAGTAGCATTACAATGCAAATATGTTTTCCTAGTTATTTAATGCATTATTAAATATGTAAAATTTAACTGAATCATTCTCTATTCTAATTTAGAGTACAGGAGTTAAAGCTGGCGCAAAAGGAGATCTGAAGATTTTAAAACCTACATTAATGGTGTCAGTGCCGGTAAGATATTTCTTATTAATGTCCATATACACAGTTCATATACATAATCTCACAGTTTACTGTCTTTGTAATGCAATATTCTTGCAGTTTCCTATGTCTAATACAGCTAAGTTTCAGTGCCGATAAAAAAATCAAAATCAAAAGAACAATAACTTAAATTTATGAAGATAATTTCGATAACAAGCAGAAATTGCTGCGAACTGCAGGGTAAAGAAACTTGTAGAATCTCAAACTAAAGTATAAAAAATCAGCTTTAATTTGCGCTGCAGCTTAGGGGAGAATGAATTTGGCATAATCTTAAATCTAATCTGCCCTAAGTGTCTTAATAAAATTTTAATCTTTAATCAAACGATATTATTAAATAGTTATGTTTATAACAAACTATCGCAGTAGCAGATTAGCTCTTGAACATCTTTGGGGCAAAGCACAAGGCATATAGTCAGGGGTTTGTCACTAACGTTAATTCAGCAGGCAATCATATTTTACTTCCATTCTCATACAACTTGAATTTTCTTCGTCATTTATGCAGTAGTTGCGAAAGTTGTGGCCATTTCAGAACTTGGCAAACATTTTTTCAACTGAACGTCCTCAAAGTTTCTGCTATACGTGTGGATTAAGAATATGGGTATGAAGCTGCAGAAAAACGAGATCGGATTAAACTTACCCTGTAATCCTGAGTTCAAGAAAACCTTTGTTTATGCCTTACCTTTTCATACCCAGCTTGCCAAGTAAATTTACAACGTTAATAACACATTCAAAGAAAGACCAGGAAAATACAATACAAACTGTCAGACCAAGTGCTTCCGCGAAAGTAAATCAGTGCTTAAGCATCAAGAGCGCTACAGTTGCGAATCGCAGTGTACACTCATGTTAACTGTGCACAAACTTAGCAGATACCTCAAAAGTACTATGATCACCTTCAGTACAGCCTTGACTTTAAAAGCAAATTTACAGTCACACAAATTTACAAATCAATCTCAGAAGTCAAACAACAAAAATCAGCGTTACATTTACAAAATTTTCACAGGACTAGTTTCGATGGTTTTACCGAACCACCATCTTCAGCTGCAAAACCGCAAATGAACCAGATAGGAAATAATGATTAGATAAGATAAGAAAGCCTGGACAAGAATAAGCAAGTGGCGCCATCTGTTGGTGAAACCAGAACTAAAACATAATTTCTTTAAAGGCCGAAGGCAAATTTGGATTGGAATTAGGATCGTTAACTGGAACAGAAAGATTTTTATGAATATGAAATGCCTCTAGAAAATCCAGTTCTCCGATGGAAGATGTTTTTTGAATAATTTTGGCAGCAGAAAAACTGAAAGTGTGGTTTTCGGACCAACAATGTTGAGCAACAGAAGACTTCTGTGTTTCCTTTTTTCTAACATATGCCTCATGTTCCTTGACGCGAAATTTTAAGGCTCTCTTACTTTGGCCAATGTAAATTAAACCACACTGGCAAGGAATCCTATAAATACCCCAGGAATTCATATCCGGAATGGGGTCCTTGAGTATGGAACTCGGAATTTTATTGATGGGAGAATAAACAACTCGAAAGTTAGATTTCTGCAAAATATGTGGAACTTTATAGCTAATTGATGGAAAGAAGGGAATGACAACAGAATTTTTATAATCTCCTAAAACAAGAGTGTGCCTTTTAGTGTGTTGAGATGAGAATTTTTTAACTGCTTGATTAATAATGTTGGGTGGAAAGCCCCTGTCAATAGCTATTGCTTTTAAATAATTTAGTTCTTCATCAAGGGCTAGTTTGGAGGAGCAAACTTGAAGAGCACGGAAAACATAGGAATAAAATGAAGCTAACTTTTGTTTAGTCGGATGACATGATTTAAAGTGTGGTGGAAGGCAAACCGATGAAGGTTTACGGTAAACCGTAGTACTGAATTTCGATGTGTTACGTGTGACCAAAATGTCGAGAACGGAAGAGAATTGCAAGTCTCAAGTTCAAAAGTGAACTGAATAGCAGGATCAATAGAATTCATTGTTGAAAGAACTTTATTTAAATCATCTTTATTACCTTCAAATAGAGTAAAAGTGTCGTCTACGTAGCGGAACCATGCCGGGAAGTTTAAAGTTTCAAACAATTTTGATTCATAATAATGCATGTAGATATCAGCCAGGATGGGACTGAGGGGGATCTCTCACTCAACTCTGTTTGAAACAAACACATTTTGTTTTCCAAAATAAATATTACAAGCAAACTGAGGGATTAGCCATGGGAAGCCCCCTCAGTCCCATCCAGTCTGATATCTACATGCATTATTATGAATCAAAATTGTTTTAAACTTTAAACTTCCCGGCATGGTTCCGCTACGAAGACGACACTTTTACTCTGTTTGAAGGTAATAAAGATGATTTAAATAAAGTTCTTTCAACAATGAATTCTATTGATCCTACTATTCAGTTCACTTTTGAACTTGAGAACTTCAATTCTCTTCCGTTTCTCGACATTCTGGTCACACGTAACACATCGAAATTCAGTACTACGGTTTACCGTAAACCTTCATCGGTTTGCCTTCCACCACACTTTAAATCATGTCATCCGACTAAACAAAAGTTAGCTTCATTTTATTCCTATGTTTTCCGTGCTCTTCAAGTTTGCTCCTCCAAACTAGCCCTTGATGAAGAACTAAATTATTTAAAAGCAATAGCTATTGACAGGGGCTTTCCACCCAACATTATTAATCAAGCAGTTAAAAAATTCTCATCTCAACACACTAAAAGGCACACTCTTGTTTTAGGAGATTATAAAAATTCTGTTGTCATTCCCTTCTTTCCATCAATTAGCTATAAAGTTCCACATATTTTGCAGAAATTTAACTTTCGAGTTGTTTATCTCCCATCAATAAAATTCCGAGTTCCATACTCAAGGACCCCATTCCGGATATGAATTCCTGGGGTATTTATAGGATTCCTTGCCAGTGTGGTTTAATTTACATTGGCCAAACTAAGAGAGCCTTAAAATTTCGCGTCAAGGAACATGAGGCATATATTAGAAAAAAGGAAACACAGAAGTCTTCTGTTGCTCAACATTGTTGGTCCGAAAACCACACTTTCAGTTTTTCTGCTGCCAAAATTATTCAAAAAACATCTTCCATCGGAGAGAAACTGGATTTTCTAGAGGCATTTCATATTCATAAAAATCTTTCTGTTCTAGTTAACGATCCTAATTCCAATCCAAATTTGCCTTCGGCCTTTAAAGAAATTATGTTTTAGTTCTGGTTTCACCAACAGATGGCGCCACTTGCTTATTCTTGTCCAGGCTTTCTTATCTTATCTAATCATTATTTCCTATCTGGTTCATTTGCGGTTTTGCAGCTGAAGATGGTGGTTCGGTAAAACCATCGAAACTAGTCCCGTGAAAATTTTGTAAATATAACGCTGATTTTTGTTGTTTGACTTCTGAATTAAAATCAATCTCACTCAGACGATTCTATGCCCCAAAAATTCGATGTGCAGTAACATAGGTTTCTATACATTTTCTAACCTAGGATTAAGAGAAGAGCTGGTTAATTCCATTGAGTGACCCCTTACTGAAGAGATCCTCGTAGGGGTAGCTAACAGGAAGTAGTCAGGCGTCACTATGCTGCATCAGTTCTGATTTCGACGGTTTAAAAATGTAGTTCCACTGTACTGAGGAGTGATGCTGCTCCAAATTAATTTTAATGATATATATTGTTTTCTAGTAATGAAAATATTTAAAACATTTTGCGTCTATATTCAGTCAGTTTTTCTAATATATTCCGTGTTGTAAAATATCGTTTAATATGTCGTCTTGTTGTGTAGCAAAGTATCGTACACTCAGGGAAATGAGAAGGAAAGAGATATTGTATTTCATGCTTTCCCAAAGACCATTTTCCTTTTGGCGAAAAAAATGTATATATGTTATCAGGACTTGTATTCCTTTTGTTTTGGAAACATTTATTTAGTGAATTATACAGTGATTATCATATCAAATTAAGGAAAAATCACAAAAATAGCGATAACTCTCTCAAAAATAAGCCAAACCGTGTAAACTTTGAATATGTTGCCAAGTAAGAGTAGCTGAGTAAAACTGCGATATGCAAATTAGTGGCGCTGCTTTCGGAATACGTCATCTGCGAGGAGCATAAAAGTCCATGTTTGAGAGCAAGCCCACATATTTCACTTGACAGTGACATCAGAAATCTGAGATAGCCAATTCGTAACAATGACCTCCAGGCATCATTTGCCTGCAGAACGTCGATGGAGAGCCATTGGGAGACTAGAGGCAGGACAAAGTCAAACAGAAGTGCCCAGATGGCTAAATGTGAGTCCTTCTGTGGTTCATAAACTTTGGAGGCAATTTCAAACCACAGATTCGGCATCTAGGAGGTTCAGCCAACGACGATCAACTGCTACGACGAGCGCCGATGACCGATATTTGACATTATGTGCACGCAGGAATAGAACCGCTACTCCGACTCTTCCTAGATCCTCCCTTGCTGCAACCACCGGAAGGTTCGTATCAACGTCAACTGTGCGTAGAAGGCTTCGCGAAGGTGGTTTGTATGCGAGGCGACCAGCCATTTGTGTGCCGCTAACGTCACGCCATAGGAGGGACCGTTTGCAGTGGGCACGTCCACTGGACGCCTGATCAATGGAGGGCGGTTCTCTTTACAGATGAGTCCAGGTTTAGTCTAGAAAGCGATAGCACGCATTATTTGATATGGAGAGAACCTAGAACCCGTTATCATCCGTCAAACATCCGTGAAAGAGATGCATACGGAAGGGGCAGTGTCTATGTATGGGGTGGCATCTCTTTGGGTGGACGCACAGACCTCCATGTCTTTCCAAGGGGAACCGTGAATACTCAGATTTATAGAAATGACATCCTTGATGTTTATGTGCGCCCATATGCCGGGGCAATAGGTGATGCTTTCCTGTTACAGAACAACAACGCAAGATCACACATGGCTCGCATCGTAGACGATTATCTTCAACAGGAAACAATTATGCGCATTTAGTGGCCAACTCGATCCCCGGACTTGTATCCTATCGAGCACGTTTGGGTTGCTTTAGGGAGACATCTAGCTGCTCTCAATCCGCCCCCTCAGACCCTTGTCGCGCTTGCAACTGCTTTGCAAGAGCAATGGCTCTCGCTTCCTATGGAACTGATAGACCGCATAATTGCAAGCATCACACATCGCTGTATGTGCTGTATTGCTTCTAGAGGCGATCATATTCCATATTGAAGATACTTTTCCTATATCAAACAGACACCCTCGATTTGTTCATTTTATACATGTGCTAATTTCTATACTACCATATTTGTCTGGTAATTTCTTTTTATGTTATTTGATACCTTACTATGTGTTGTATATTGTGGGTAAGTTTCATTCTTCTACATGTAACATTTTCAGTAATCGTGATTTTTGTGATTTTTCCTTAATTTATGATAACCAGTGTAGTTGGCGTGTTTAGCATATTTAGCATTTTTAGAATTTAAATGAGTTAAATTTAGGATTACAAGGAAAAAGTGTTAATTTTGTTTATATTACAGATAAAATAAACGCAATGATTAAAAAAATCTCGAATAATATTTTAAGCTTTTGACCACTTTTGTAAATTTTCTAACCGAAAATATTTTGAAAATAAAAGAAGAACTAGCATCCGACGTTAAAAATCATTGTTTTCCATTGATAAATAATTTCAACATGAATTTTTCCAAGGATTATGAAAAAGAAAGTTGGATTAGAAATCCATTTTGTATTCCATTTGTAAATGTACTTGAAATTTTATGTCGTGAAGAAAAAGAAAAATTGATAGAAATTTCCTGTGATCAAACTCTAACTGAAGATTTCAGAAATAACACACTTTTCTCTGCTTGTTAAATTTTGGCTGAACCGAAAAAAAAAAAAAAAAAAAAAAAAAAAAAAAAAAAGAAAAAATATTTTAAAGGCATTTCAAATAAAGCTATTAAATTTTTACTGCCTTTTCGCGCAACCTCTTTGTTTGAACAAAGATTTTTCTTCCCTGTTATATTTGAAAAATAAATACAAGTAAATTAAAAGTGGATTCTAATTTACGATTAAAGCTAAGTGAAATAACACCAGACATAAAGAAATTGATCTGTCTCCTAAACAGGCCTAAATTTCGCAATAAATTTTAGAATAAAAATATTATAACTGAAATTTTGATAATTAAAATGGTAACCAGTTTTTAATCTGATATTTTTTATGTATGCATATTTAATATAATTAGTTAATAGTTTGTACAAATGGCAAAATATATTTTTTTAATATTTCTATTGAGAGATTGAAAAATAATCATTGTAAAGTGTAGTGGTGGTACTATGGTTTTCAAATTTTGTTTACATGGTTACGCGTTAGTCAAAAGATTGAGAATCGCTGGAATAGATAATAGAAGTACTTCATAGTTCATAAGTTATAATAATTTATAAATTCATATTAGTCTTCTAGGGTGAAATTCATTAGTGTTATTTTTACTTGTGTTATTTTCATTTTGCACAGAGTTCTCCTAAGGACGAGAGATGCTTTAAAATATTTTCTATTTTCTTTTTGAGATATTTATTTTTTATTGCGAATTTTAGATAGGCATTAGTATTTGAAGTTGGTCATTTTATATGATTGGAACTTACCAGGAGACAATCTTTTAAATAATGAATAGGGTCTCCCCGTTCCCCACAAACACAATTGTCGGAAACAGAAATGTTTCGTTTATAGAAATAAGTGGGGAAAGGGCCGTGACCTGTAATAAGAAAGCAATTAATATAATGGTTGACTATATTGCATTTGTCGTTAACATGAGGAGCTATTTTAAATAGTATTTTCTGCCTGCGTTATTATTTTGCCATTCATAATCACATAACTTCATTTTGATTTTTTTCGAGATGATATTTTAAAAATGATTTAGGTCGAGGAAGCTTTATTTGTGGTATGTTGTTGTTGGTGATGGCTGATTTTGCAGACGTATCAGATTCTTCGTCATGGGTTTTAACCCATAATATTCTTGGTAATAAGCTTGCATTTTAAGAAGTACTACTGACAATTTGTTGGACTAGTTCTGATTTATGTTTAGTATTTTGGATTGGTAAGAATGCTGATTGAACTGTCGGTGAATATATTTATTGCAGATTGTTTGAGATAGCATATTCAATGTCTAATTTTATTGCTAATAGCTCTGCTTGAAAGATGCTGCTTTCTTTTGTTTTTTGAGTTTGTAGAATTGTTTTTTGGTTTGGATTTGGTGATATTATAAGGTATTTCTCTCGCCTTCTTAACGAGCCTTCGTGGTTCGATTACTGGAGAAGGCGTTGCTAATTTTTTAATCTCTCCTGCTTCCAAAAAAATACCTAATGTCTCTACAGTATGATAACAAGCACTTCCAACACCTGAATCCATTTTGGAGCCATCTGTATTAGATGATCGAATGATAGACATTTGAAGACAATGGTTTTAAAGTACAAAGTATTTTTGGATTAATAGCTGGGTGTCTATTGTAAAGATTTTCAGATGTTCCAAATTTGTTAGGATAAAATATTTCTTCTTGTATTGTGCATGGTTTTCTTAATTTTAGTATAGTATTTTTAGTATGTTCTATTTGTGCTATTATGTGTAATAGTGGAATTCCAGATAAAACGCACAGAGTTGCATTTGAAGTTGTTCTATAGCACTTTGTGATTCGAAGGAGAAAAGGGCGTTGAATTGCTTTTAGTTGTCTTGTTTTTCATTTTGTCATTGGTATTGACCAGATTTCAGCTCCATAAAGAACTATTTTCTCAACGACTGTCTTAAGAAGTATTTTTTGAATGTGTGAATTTAAGCCCCAGTTTAAGCCCTGAATTTTCTTTAGCTTTCCGCTATTTTGGCTGTTTCGGTCCTATTTGATATACAGTAGATGGTCAATCTAGTTTAATTTTTTGTCTATTATTATACCAAGGAATTTTAAATTTTTAACTATTTTTATTTTATTGTTGTCCTATTATTTATTAATTTCATTCACTCACCGCCTATCAGCCGAATACTACGGCAGGCTGAGTTTGAGAGTTACGGTGCTTCTGGCTGAAGATGTCAATACTGTCTCTCTAAATTTACATACTTGCCCAATATTTAAATTTATTTAATTTGCATTTTTTGTAGGGTTGAAAGAAAAATAGAACGGCAGGAAAGATTTATCTAAGACCTAATACGTAGGTTAAAATAAACTGCATTATTACCTTAAATTGCCATTATTACCTGCCGAATTTCATATTTTCTGCTTAATTATTTTTGAAACTAGATCACAGAAAATCAAATTTAATTTCTTTGTAATTTTTAATTAGTTACGGATGCTTTTATGCCTTCTCTCATATGCTAGTCTTTACTTATTTTTATTTTTATTATTTTTTTAGTTAATGTTGGACCGGATTAGAAAAAGCATTCTGCACTTAGCAGGAAGAGAGGGAACATTTTCACGTCTAATGTTCGATTTTGCAGTTAGTTACAAGAAATTCTGGTCTGAGAAAGGTTTTCAGACACCAAAATTAGACAGGTAATGTAGACACATGTGCAACTAAATGAAAGAAGTAATTTATTTCTTTTTATTAAATTTTCATCATTTATCAAGTTTCTGGTTTAAAACGTTGTTAAAGTTTACGACTGATATTACAAGAACTAGCGGAGAAGTTCTTAGCTCAATGAATGACTAGTTTTTTAAAGCGTAAAATGAAACGTTTTTAAAAGCGCAGTTACGATGCAACTCTGAAAAAATGAAGAAACGCGTAGCAGGAAAAGAGGCAAAGAGCATAATAATTAGGGGAGAATAGAAAGACATGAATCATTGCGGGCGATATGAATTTAATTAAATGAATCCATGCAACAGTGTGTGACAGTCTTACTTTTGAGGGAGGAATATTAAAGAAAATGATAATAAGGAACCTAAATCGGCGTATCATAAGTAAATTTGCAGGACTACAGCTTCGAATGTTAACTAGAAAATACTCAACAGCCGCAAGACTGAAAATGAATCAGAAAAATATTATATTTGGAGAAAGTGTTTGCTTTATACAGCAAGATACTTCTGTGGCGTATATGGATAATGCTAGACGTTGTAGAGACATTAGTATTTTTGGAAGCAGTAAAGATGAAAAATTAGCAACGCCTTCGCCAGGAATCGAACCACGGACCTCTGGAATACCGGCCTAATGTGAAAACCACTACACCACGAAGACACGCTAGAAAAGATCGAGAAATACCACATATACTCCCCTTTTTAAAGGGCGACTGGGGTTTTTTGGGGACCCAACCGCCAAATCCTGGGTGAGGAGAATCATCATCCAACACCCTTTTAGTTCGGGCGCGACTGTAGAGATATTAGGTATTTTGGGGAGAAGTAGGCAAGGTAAAAAATGAGCAATCGCCTTCCCCGGGAATCGAACCACGGATCTCTTGAATACCGGCCCAGCATGCAGAACCACTACACCACGAAGGCACGCTAGGAAGGCGGGAGAAATACTTAAATACCCCCCCTTTTAAAGGGGCGACTGGGGGTTTTAGGGAAACCGATCCCAAAATCCTGGGTGGGGAGAATTCTCATCCAACACCCTTTCAGTTCGAGCCTAAGTTCAGTTCGGTTAGGTTAACTAACTAGGCAGAAACGAATTTTGTAAATTTCTTCTTGCGTTGAAAAACTGCATGTGAATCCCACGACAAAACAGAAAATTACTGATTAATAAAACATGCAGAATTACTTAAAATTAATATTATAATAGGTTTATGGAAATTTTTGTTAATGAGATCAATATTTACTAAGTTACAAATGCGAAAAACCTTCCTAATATCACAGCAGATAACTTCATTTTGGTAGAATAACAAAATCCGCTTTAAAAACAACTGCTGAGTTTTTAATATCCTCATACTTGGATCTATTAAACTATTTAAATGATAAATCATGCCTCTTTATTGTAATATAAAAGAGCTACTCCTAAAGCTAAGATCCGCTAATGACGTTTAAGTAATAATACTACAGTTACATAATAGCTTCACAGTCTACCCATAAAATATATGTGGTTTTAATGAGGCATAGAATAAAACATGTGAAAGGGCTGTAAGCAACTACCAGCATATGAAATTCTTTTATACAATATTTCAAAAGTTCACTTACTTTTTGTAGTGCGGAAACAGTTAACTAGCTGCTGTTTGCTAGTAGTTCTATCCAAATTCGCACTGCAGAATCCCTTTAAGTCTCTTGATGGGTTCAAAATTGCTGCACTTTCCCCCCACACCCTTCTCACTACTCAAAACATTTTTCGAGCTGAAGTAAACATTATAAATTAAACATTCAAAGATGACTACTCATTTTTCGCAGCTACGTCTCTTTCAGCTTTCTTAAATGTTATATTCGAAAGCATAATCCTTCGTTCTTCAGGGTACATTTTTTTGAAATATATTCATTCACAAAGTTTTTTAGCAGGAATCAAATAAAAATTATAATATTTAGTCATAATAATAAAAATCAACCCTTTTCAAAATAATAGACTGTTGCGTGTGGTGGGTTCCTATACTTGACACGCCAACTTGAAAAGTTCCTAATTTCTTTTCTCCCACAAATCCCACAATGCTGAGTTTTTTCCTCACAGATATTCGTCCCAATATTGCAGTATCACACAGTTAATTTATAACTCCTGAACGTTCCAATAGAACCCCCCCCATTCAAAGCGCCAGAAATTCATCCGATCTCAAGGCAGTAAGTACCCCACCAACTTAGTAAAAACAAGTGATTTTTCTCGGCTTTTAAGCTTTTAAATCGTGCACGGCATTAGGTTCCTTTCTCTTTTCTCGAGGTTCTGGAACAAAGGTAATTACCTACGATTACCCCACCCTTGCATTTTCCTTCAATTAAATTATACGAGATATCTTATAATGCGCGTACTCCTGTTTTTTACTTTCTCGCCGAGCTTCTCTTAAACCTCGTCCTGCGCTGCTTGCAGGGGAATCTTTTTTAAGTACAATTCTACTCCCCCCTACTCGCCTTACCACCGCAGTCAGTCCATTGTGTCCGTGATATGAGATTTCCATAATTTTCTCTTTCTTTTGAGCGGGAATATTAATATAAGTTTTATATTAGGAGCATTTATTGGCGTCGATTTTTTCGAAATTATCGTTTCTCTTCGGGGGGGAGGGGGGAACATAAGCCGTCTCAAGTGATATAGATTTTCGTAACTTCTTCTTAATTCTTATAAACTTATGAGGTTCTTACTCTCGTTCCGGGGTCTGTGAGCCTTGGAAGCGTACTTGAAGTATATTCGAGAAGTCGAGGGTTCGAGTCCTGGGCAGCACATGCACTTTCTACGCCTCCTGCTTCACCCCACCTAATGACTAACTATTTCTTTTTTTACATTTGCGAGAAAACTACCTAAACGTTTTCGGAAAGTATTTCACAAAAGGCACACCATTAACGCCCAAGCTCTTTACCACGATGTATTTGCCAAGTTACAGAGGATATATAACACTGTGTCTACAATCTTGGCACAATATTTCTTAATAAAGAATTCAATTTATATGTTATTAATTTGTACCATCTTATTACCTAATAAATAAATTTTGATTTACAGAGAATTAAATTTCCCTTTATCAATTTCGAAACGATTTTTAAACATATTTAAGATATCTGAATTCAAACAATTTACTTATATTTATTATATTACTTTATTCTTAAATATTATGCTCTATGATTTGAAAACCAAAAAATTTTAATATAACTTAATTTTACAACTTTTTAATAATTTAGTATGCTTTTGTAAGTTTTTACTTAAAAGTATTAGGAGCTATTTCATCCGCCTTCCTAGCGTGCCTTCTTGGTGTAGTGGTTCTGCACGCTGGGGGTATTCCAGAGGTCAGTGGTCGATTCCGGCCCGGACGTTGTTAATTTTTTCATCTTACCTGATTCCAAAAATCCTAATCTCTACAGTGAGCCCGAACTGTGGCTCCTCCACACTCCACTGGGTTTGTTCCCCTTTGGCCTTTAAAAGAGTCCCCTTTAAAAGAGGTTAATATAAAGGTATTTCTCCGCCTTCCTACTCTGACTTATGGTGGTTTTGCACACTGGACATGTTTCCGAGGTCCATGGTTCGATTTCCGGCGAAGGCTTCTTACTTTTCTCTTCCGTGTTTCCCCAAATTCTAAGGCCTGCCCCTCCTTTTTTTTATTTAGATGAAAAAATTCATAAATTTCTTGATCTTGCAGTGGCAGTATACCCCCCCTATATGCAATCGTTATAAATATCGGGAAATCGAATGGCAATGAGTTCCTTTTCAGATAACAAATGTATAAAATTTTTCATTTGTTATTTATTGCTAATATGGTTCAACTTTGAGAGAATTGCTCTGTTCCTTTTTGATGGCGCAATTCGCGTTTGATCAGCCGTTCCTTATAAAAGGCATTATTCCGTGGAATATTGAAACCGATTCATCTGATCCTTGTTTGAAAGTTGAACCTGTCCTTGAGAAACCTACCGCATTTGTGAATTAGAAACTGTGTGGAAAAATTAAGTTTCCGCTTTCTTTGGGCAATTTTATGAGGAGTAGGAATATTTGGTTTTCATTCTGATTATTGCCTTGCTCATAGAAGCACTGACAGAGGGTACAGAAAATAGTTAAGTGAAATCATTGGAATTAAGAAAGACCACTGTTTTCTGAAACTGTTTTATAAAACCTTATTCACATTTTATGCGTCATGACTGCTTAGTTATATGGTACACTATTTGACGTACTATGCGCTCTGCCTCTAAGAGCGAATCCAAGATCTTAGGTTCAAATTCCATACGCAAAATTTCAATTATTCTTTTATATAACTGTTGATTTTTTGCTCAGAGGCAATACTTTTCTAAATAATGAGTAAATTGCTTGAAGACATTCGATTTTCTCTTAAAATACCAAACGATCTTTTGTCTAGGTTACTTTAAGATATTGTTTTTGTACGAGTTTTACCAGCAAATTAAAATATGGAGAGCCCATACTTTGTAACCTTTTAAAAAGGTAAGCACGTCGCCAACTAGAGCCAGCTTTTTGTTGCTGGCTAAAAGTCTTTTCAGGTTAGGTTGGTTCTTATCCTTACGGCAAAGCTCGGGGCTATCGCCTAAGGAGAGGATGACTTCGTGGGGGTTTCTAAGGACAGCTTGTATACACGTTAGCTGGGGAACCCGAAACTCAGGCCAGCCCGTCGAAGTCGGAAACAACTAGAACCTTTCCGAATCAATATTTCAAGCGCCTGCGTGGCAGGTAGTAAATTCTCTTCATCTTAGGATACATTTCCGTTGAAAATCCAGCTCATAACTCGTTGAAAAGCGTACTTGAGGAGTCAGTATATAGTACGTATTTAACAATAGATATTTTATCACTTTACAAACTGCGAATCTTTGCAGGTTAGTCTTCTCATTTAATACTTTTCCGATTTCTATTTGTAGACTTAAAAAGTTTAATAAGTGGAATATACCTTAATTTACTCTGCTGTAAAGGAAATACACATAAATGTTTTTATTCTTCTGTTCGTCTTTTCATCTAGGAAACTCCTCAAGACTTATCATGACTTTATGGGTGGTAACTTACGAGTTATTATGTGCGGCAGTGCTCCTTTATCACCAGATACACAGAGCTTTATTCGATGCTGTCTTAATGTTCCAGTGCTACAAGGCTATGGCTTAACTGAAACTGCAGCTAGTGCAACTGTAACGGACTGTACGTTTATTTACTGATTATTATTTTTATCAATTTTCTGCACTTATAACCAAACTTAACTCTCAGTTTCTGCTCTAATTCTATACTGCTCTGCTCTTATTATTATTACTACTCTTATTCTATAGGCACGAAACAAAATACTAATAGAAACGATTTTGAATTTGTAACTGGCAACTGTGTTGAGCTACCTCTAAACTGAACTTACAGTGCTTTTAGCGCTGTAAGTTTATACTTCCAGTTGGAGTGATTCGTCTTGTACAAAGCTTTTATTCATATAAATTCTTGTACTGAAACAAAATTAAATTTGGTATCTTAAAGGTTTCTTATATTCTAACATTAAGTAAAATTTTACACCGCATATAATATTACTGCAATTAATTTAAATACAGATTTTGAACATTAAATTAAAGGATTAATAATAATATTTCTCAAACATTTTTAATAAATAAAAGTAAACGAATTGGCTTGCAATAACTATAGCAAATATTTCAACTACATTAATTATATTTTTTTGTTATCTTAATATTGGCAGATTTTGGCCGATATTGAAGTTTAAATCTGAAATACAGCTCCTGTACCATTTACTTATAGATAGTCTTTTTTTTTTTTTTTTTTTTTTTTTTTGCTGCTGCAAAATCTTCTACTATGGTTCACATCTGTTGTCCTTAAGTTACTCCCTGTCTTAATGCTGTGACTTGTTGTGCTGTAGATTATTGCTTTGAGGTTTATTATAGCGTGTTAAACGCTAGCATTCTGTTAGACTAGGATGTGATTAGTAATCAGAAACTGGAATTCTTATTTTAGTTTTTCAAATAATTCCTAAGTAAAAAGATCAGCCTTATTAAATAGTGTTAGCTGCAGATAAACATTTTACTGCAATTATGCATTTCTGGTATAAATTAAGGCCCGATTTTGAGGGTTCATAAAAAAAGTTTTCATCGTGAGTCTTCAGGCACTTGATTACACGCATGCACTTTCATTTTGATAATCTTCATGTTATACAAATTACCTTAATTCACATAGCATTTATCTGGTTTCTAAATTCATAAAATAATTTGATTAAAATTGAAATTTTTCCATTATTTGCAGATGATGATTTGAGTAATGGTAGAGTTGGAGCACCGTTAACTACCTGCAAACTACGGCTAGTGGACTGGAAAGGAGGTAGTCACTTTATCTCTTCTGTGAGGATGATATCAGTAACGTTAACAAAGACCAATAACTTAAATTTAGTTACCATGTATATTAAAATACGGTACTTATATTTCGAATGAAATTTCTTTTTATAAAAAACTACAATAAATTTTGTTACCTTGCAAGTTTCCTTCAATACTGGCTTCATGTTTTGCAAATGTCATTCAGAATTTTAATCTTTTTCTCTTGGACAATGAATTTGATTCAATACCCGAAAGTCATTTTACATTAAATACAAAGAGTAAGCTGTACCTGAAACTAGCTTGGAGGGTTCCTCTTGTTTTGTAAATGCTATGTTATCGTTGTTGTGAAGAATCTTAAGAACTAGTTAGCGAATAATCGCTTGAGTTCGTGTAGAGGAAACAACAAATACGAAGGGTTAACTATCCCTTTATTATTTCAACTAAGATTTAACAAACTCCGTCTTGGAGAAATACAGTAAAACCGCCACTTGGACTTGAACTTAAGAGGCTAAGAATTAAACTCAAACTTATCTAAACTAAAGAGATATAGCCGACGCTATCAAGATTCTAACAGAGTTGGCCCCTTAACGTTTAATATCTTGCGAAGCTATTAAGGGCCTAAGTACGGCGGAGCGTAATAACAGTTTTGAGAGAGAGTAGCCAAAAAAAGCAGTTGCGCACAAATCAGAAACTCTGATTCTCTCTCTCTCAGCAAGTAGAACTTCGCGGTTTAAATACCGCTCCTCCTCATCAAGTATTCAGAGTGATTCTAAAACTACGTTCTGGCCAGAAGTAGTAAGTTGAAGTTAAGAATTTGATAGGAAAGGAACTTTAACTTAAAATTTAACTGTTAATAAAATTAACATAATTCTTACAAGCTCTTGCTTCAAATTTCAAATTAGAGGGAAAAAACTGGCTGAAATAAAAAATTAAAACGAAAACTGAAATTAACTGTAAGTGAATTTTGATAATAAATTATACGAGTGTTTATTTAGGCCTTAAGATAAAGCAATAACTGATTAGTAAAGTCTTAAGAAATCACGAGATCAAATGAAATATCCTGTAACAAAACACAGATATCAGAGAAGCATTCTAAAATTTTATTTAACTGAAGGTACTATTGTAGAATACTTCCTACCTGATGCATCTAATATCAAATTATATGTTGTTGATTAGTAAATAAATTAGAAATATTCAATAAAAGTTTATTGTTTCATATTCTATCTTGTTTAAACTGCCAAATCACATGAAAACAAGTAGGTGTAATATGTGTTCAAAATTGAAAACATTTGAAACAGTTATAGTTCGACTTCAATAGAAAATAACATCCAACAAAAATTTTTAAATCATTCTGGGTGAGCTGCCATTGTTGTAAATAGTAGCATGATATTAACCTAGGTATTGTAATTCTTTGCACATTTTCTATTATATACGGAAATATACGGAATAGAAGTATCGGTCTTGACAATAAAAATACACGAAATGGACAAAAGCAGCAGTTTTTAGAAGCGATTCGCTAATATGAAATAATTTTGATTATACAGAAAAGATATGAATAAAAAGTTGAAGTAAAAAGATGATATTGTTTAATTAAAAAAATCTACCGTTGAGGGGTTTTACTTTCATACAAATAACTTTTGGTGTACAAATAAAATTTTGACATCACGTAATAGCTAAAATAAATAAACTCGACATGAATTCAATAAAAAATATAATAAAATAATATAGTTTACTTTAATTAATTGATATCAGAACAAAGCAACTCGCTTTATATAATCCTAACAATATGAGTACAGTGTTTCTCATTAAAAATCCAGCACCAAAAAGAATGTTGTGTGATATATACATAGAACGATCTAGATAAATAATTAAGATGGCATCACCAATGCAAATAAAGTATGAGAATTTTGTTACCTGAAAATGGCATAGAAGACAGAACCTGAAAGGAAAATTGGAATTGTGTTCGATCGCAAGTATTCTAAGAGGAATTGCCACAATGTTAAATGGAAGGATACAACAACAAAACAAACGATTTCAAGTTTTGATCAAGAAGAAGTTATAGGACACCTAAAAAGGCGGGTTCACTGCTAAGACGTTGATGTTCGGGTTTAAAGATTCAAGCCACGGCAAAGATAAAATGTCTTTACTGGTTTAGTGGAATAACTCATAAACAAAGAAGGATATCATCTGCTTTGGCACATAAGGAAATGAGAGGACAGGCATATGATGCGCCTGAATATGAGCAATTGCATAGCTACATCAAATACCTTAGCTTCATAATTAGAGTCTTTAGTACAATAGGTACAAGTAAAAGCAAGGCCGGCACCTGCGCATTCCCGAAGGTATAGTAGGTATCGCCATATTTTGCTAACTGTTAAGCTACCGCCCCAATTTTGATATAGAATTTTCCAGTGCCCTTTTGCCGCACAGACACTATACTCTTAAAAATATCTCTGTCTTCTCTGTGATTTGAACTTAGAACCCGTCCCCATCAGTAGGGCAGCTAGAGTCAATAACCAATATAACGATTGGGTGGCTGTCTGACACAAGAGCAAGTCTCCGTACGTATAATGAAATACCGTCTGCAACATAGACGTATCTTTACTATGGAGCCAAAAATAATTTCGATTGCGACTGGCTTTATAACCTTACATCTGTATGTACAAGCAATTTCTCACCGTTTTGTTTTGCAGATTTATCCACATCTGTATAAAACAAATGGATAAATTCATATTTGGCGATGCCCCGCTGAAAAGTTGAGTTCTGTATAGAACTTCACTGTGATGTAGAACTTCCACCTGATGTTATAATAGGGAGAAATAGCGGACCACAGTATCACCCGAACTTATGCTCAATACAAGACCTTGAACAGGGAGCAATGTATCACTTACAAGAGATTCTTCAAAGCTCCTGACGACAATAGCACCTAAACGTCTAGGGGTGGACAAGCAGGCGAACATAGCGACAGATACATATATTATTTGCAATCTCTTGCGACCTCCAAAACAGCAAGTATGAAGGAGAACATCTGTTCGTGATATTTGCAGGCCATACATTGGTAATTAAAATATATCTGCGAAGAATAACGCCCCCAATATCAGCAGTTCTCTGTCATAAAGTTGCAAATGTCATATGCGTACGTCATTCCATCGCATGGTAATGTGGTGAAAAAGGCAAAGCTAACCGCAAAGTTGATGTGCTCACCACGAACAGGTATTGATGACTCCAGATTCACAACTAGAAGCGTTGCACATGATGCGCACACACTAAAATTTATAACCAAAACGAAAAAAAAAAAAAAAAAAAAAAAAAAAAAAAAAAAAGAAAGAAAAAAAAAAGGTTTGAAATGATTTAAATGAAATGATTTAAATGATCTATGAACTGGATTCAAAACTGGGAATGCCAATTCAGACAGCTTCTTCTTTATCCTATTTGCTTAAACGACAGTAATGCATGAAATAGTAGTTCCATTTTAAGCACTTTTTGGAATTTGATATATATATGCTAGCCAGTGTCTCGAGAGCTGTTACCCAAAGTTATCTTGTTATTTGTCACTTTGTCCCTAGTGTCTTGTATTTTCGAGCAATGGGTTGCTACAGATATTTCTTTCTCTGACGGGCAACTCTCACGTAATGCTCTTATTAATGTACTCTGGAACCGCATCGTCTGCCAGCTTAAGGCTATAAATATTGCGGGCATCTCACCCCATTTTACATCTTTCCTGAGAGTTGCGAAATGCCTCATGTCATAAGTGTCGCTTTGTCCTTTGTTGTATGCTTGTCCATCTTTGAAAGTTTCGTGGTGATATCGTTGGAAGGTCCGATAATTTTCTTAGTTAGACTGTTTTTGGAACTGTGGTGTCATTTGACTTTTAGAGTATGTTTAAGATGATTTAACAACAAGACAATACTCGAATACACTTTTACTATTACAATACTATTACAATATACTTTCAGTTTTCATTTGTTGAAATGGGCATGGCCTGTCATGACCATAAGACCAACTTGTTTGGTTAGGCAGGTCGGGCTGCACCCGCTACTGATACTCGAATACACTATATTGAGGATGCAAAATCATTTAGATTCCGATGTGCTACCGTTGCGTTGGCTTATTCGTTTATCGCAACTTGAAACATATCCAGTCCATGACCAACAGGCGACTACCATACCTAAAAGCAGTACCATCTATTGCAGATGTAATTTCTCATTATAATTAAAGGACAAGAAACGCGTGTCTGAGGTTTCATGCTCAAAGTAATATATCAGTGGTCACGGTTGCTTGTGGTAGCTACACGAGGTATTGATGTTACTTAATCTTTCTCTCAAAAGAACTGTATTTGTAATAGTTTCACTTTTGAAACTTATGAGGAACTATCCCATTTCCCAATGTATGCTGTGGTGTAAATTTTAACACGCCCAGTTAGTTGTGAAATATTCGTGGGTCAACTCTGGGCACAACTGATTTTAATGTTTCCTGCTAAGAAAAATGATAATGTCTCTATAAACTTAAATTAGGATTTAATATATATGGCTGCTGTCCAACTGGGATAGCAGTTAGCGATGCTGATTGCCGTAGTGAAGGGAGCGCGTTCGAATTCCCGAGAAGGCATGGATATTTGTAAACGTATAGTGCCTGCGCGGCATGGGGCATTCTAAATATGCTGCGAGCCGAAGGTCCCCTCAAGAGGTTCCTTGTAGGGAAAGAGGGGTGGGAAACCATCGGACCCGTCATCCTCGGGATGCTTTCTCTCAAAATTTGGGGTTAAAATGAGCTAAAGTCGGGCTGTCACCTATATAGTGCTTAAGGCTCTTTCTTGTCAACTACAGGCGCATAATGACAACATAAATATGTATTTCATATGAATTTGTTAAAATATTTCAGTGTTAAGAATAATTAACGGAAAAGTCATGTCATGTAACGAAATTTACAGTACAGGAATTTGGCCGTCAGACAGCGTTAGCGTACTTTCCGTAGGACAAATGCTTGAAAGGACGTACTGCAGGATCATCGGGACAGTGCAGTTTATGTTTCGTTTTCATGCTGTAATACGTTCCGATGGATGTTGCTTTGAAGATGACTAAATAATACTATTTTACATTTCAAGTAAAACGGTCTTATAGACATTTTTCATGAACTTCTTTAATATAGCGATATATCTTGCTCTTTCTGCTTATGCATTTTTTAAATCAAACAGAATACTATCCCAAGCGCTAGATCAAAAATACAGAAATCATTTTATAGTAAGAGCACAAATACTACTTTAAAAATACTTAATTTTAATTTCGCAATATTTTAAAAGCTTTTATTAACTTGTTTTGTGCATCTTCTTCTCAAACCATCAAATCTTAGAACATAAATCAACTCACTTAATATAGGAAATTAAATACTTCAGGGTAAACAGAATGCCAATGACAATACAACATTCTAATTTCTTTTTCCAAATTGGTTACAATCTTGAAAATGGCCAATAAATCAAAGAAGAAATTCCCACAGAAAACCCTCAACGATTCTTCTGTGTTACCGTTGTTTGAACTTCGGATATACTGCAAGTTAGTTTTAGCCTAAGTCCTGATGATAACATTTTTTTTTTTTTTTTTTTTAGAATTTACATTAAAATATTCAGTGCGTTAAATGGTTACTGTCAGGAATCCATTAAACTCGTCTGAAGACCTAGAAACAGAGCTTTTTCGGAGGCCTTCAACTTTCACTTTTCTCGCTTTTTTACTGGAAAAGCGAAATTCTGGGAACGTTTTCGAGATACGTAAATTCTGAGGGCCATAGGCTTAGGGGTTATGAGATTGCCAGGCTCCTAGTATTATATGAGTAAATATATATACGCTCTTAAACCTGAGGTACATTACATAAGAATATTTTTCAAACATTTGCGAAACTGATGGATACTTTTATCATGGTTGTTTACTTGTATGGGTACAGATTTGTATCCTTACAAGACCATTTTCTTTCATGTTCCTAGAACACTTGAAGACATAAAAGAATATCTAATCATCTGATAACGCTCTTTCAACCTTAAACACCACTCGGCAACTTTAATCTATGGCTATGAATAAAAAGTAAAATGTAAAATGCATACATTTTGCAAGTCTACATTGCAACATTACAGGACAAAGACTTATGTACCTCAAATTTTTATTAAACAATTCAGTGTTCTCTCCCTCAAAGATATATGTCTGATTTGATTAATGTGTATCTAAATAATTACTATCTCTGTCATTGCGTAAGTCGTGCTTGAGGCAATAATTAAACATTAGCAACACAACTGCATTTTTTACAAGACTCAATGTATATTTTGCTTCCATTTACTCTAGGTAGCTACTTTGTGACAGATAAACCCAATCCTAGGGGTGAAATCGTTCTTGGAGGAGACTGTCTTACCTTGGGGTACTTCAAGAATGCAGTACAAACGGAAGAAGCTTTCAGAACGGAGAATGGTATTCGGTGGTTTTATACGGGAGACATAGGAGAAGTATTTCCCAATGGTACATTAAAAATAATCGGTACGTTATTCTTTTAGCATAGATTCTTTCAAACGTATCATTTCGTTAAGATAAAATATGACGAAATACAGATCCATTATTCTCAACTTTGTAAAGATACGATATATTATGACATTATTTAATAAACAAAACCACTGCTAATCATGATGATCAAGATGTTTTATATAAATTCCAGCCCCCCAAATTGCATATATTTAATAGGCTATATATATGGGAATAAAAATCAAAGACACAGCACGCAATCTGTAGAAATAAGTCCATATAGTTTCTATAAACTGATACTTATTATGCTACATAAGAATATATGGTGAGCTAATAATGAGTTGCATTATTACTATAAGGAAATATAACATTATTATGTAACAATAATTTAAATAGCAGAATGAATTTTTTAGCATCAGGAAGCTATTAAGCTCAATTCTTATTTTTTTATCCGTATAACTTCTCAAATAAAATTATGTTGCCATTCGAAGTTATTGCCGTTTATTATTTTTAAAGAAATTACATAGCAAATATAATAAATAAATAAATAAAAATATGAAAGAAATACTTAAAATATAAATGCTTAAAAATATACTTAAAATATACCTTTTATTTTAATAGCCTTCTAAGGGGTATTTTAATTTTATAACAGTTATTTTAATTTCGGAATCTTGTGTCCCGCGTATCGCGTTGAATGCAAATAAGTTAGGAGCAGTATTTATTGGAATTTCAACTAACTTAGAAAGAATAGCCTGTTACGCGGCGGTAAAATCAGCCAACCTTAGTCACGCCATTAAAATGCTGCAAACCATCATTCCGAGTATTGAACAGTGGTGTAGCTTCTGGAAAATACAGTTAGTCACAAAAGTCTGCGTACAGACTAAATTTTAAATTAAAAAAACACTTAAAGCATAGAAAAATGTATTTTAATCATTGCATTTTTTTCTTCTATTAGCTAAAATTGTAAGCTTAAATAAAAAGTAAATAATATCAGTGTAATACTTTTTACATTTTTTCAAAAATATATTTTGTCAAAAAAACTCAGAAATTCCCTCCAATAAGTCTGCGTACACTTTCAAAAAAAAAAGCAAAATATAAGTTTTTTACATTACTTCAATACTTTGTAGGATATCCTTTATTCTTCAAAACAGCTTGCAGACGTCTGGGCATTGACTGAACTAGTTTTTCAGTGTCATCCGACGTAAATTTCGCCCATTCTTCCTGCAATTTACTAATTAGCTTATTTCGCGACGTAATATTGTGTTTTCGAATTCGTTTCTCCAATTTTGCCCACAAATGTTCGATTGGATTGAGGTCTGGTGACTGTGGAGGAGTACGCAACTGTCTTGGAGTGTGATAGAGGAGATATTCCTTCACAATTTTAGCTGTATGTTTCGGGTCGTTGTCTTGTTGGAAAATAAAGGTATTAGAAAGGTTTAAATTTCGGGCACTGTCTCGTAGATTTTTCTTCAGAATATCCAGATAAACATACTTATCCATGACTTTATCAATAATGTGAAAATTTCCAACTCCTTTCGACGACATACACCCCATACCATCACACCGCCAACTCCATGTTTGACAGTTGGATTTAAATTTCTCAGATTCAGTTCTGTTCCTGGTTTTCTCCATACAATAGGGTGGCCATTAACTTTAAATATTGTAAATTTACTTTCATCTGACCAAATTACATTGTTCCAGAAGTCCTGCGAAGAGTTTAAATATGTTTTGGCAAAAGCAATTCTTTTCTTTCTATTTGTCTCGGAAATGTATGGCTTAGACCTAGGTTTGCGTCCATGATAATCGGACTTTCGCAGCACTTTTCGTACACTTTCGTAAATTTCCTTGTTGCTAGTTAAAAAAAATGTCTTTTGCAATGCTTGCAGCAGAAAGTTTAGGATTTTGTTTAATTCGTAAAAGAATTTTTCTTTCTTCTCTCTCTGTGTTAGCTTCTTCGGTCTCCCAAATCTTGGTTTTACTGCAAGACTACCAGTGTCAAGATAGTTTTGAATAACTCTTTGCACACTAGAAAATGGTTTTCCAATGGTTTTACCAATATAACGAAGAGTTTTACCTTCATCTCTCAATTTGATAATTAGTTGTTTCGTAACTAAAGGAATTTATTTATTGGTTGTCATTTTCGTCAAAGAAAATAGAAATAACAACGTGAAATTTGCTTCGGAAGTCAATGACCTAGAAAGTGTAACCTTCTTTGCATTCTCAAGTTTGAAGTTTAAAAGATAGATAAGAAATCTCCCGTCTCCTTCGCGTTGTACGCAAACTTTATTGGCTTTGATTTATGGCCACTTATCTTTTAAAAATTAGTGTGCATAAATTGTTAGATATGAAAATATTACAGTTAAATAATTTCAAAGTCCCTTATTGAAACTAAATATTTAAAAAATAAAACTTTAAGAAACTACCCTTTTCGCACCTTAAAATTTGGATTTTATATTACTTTTCTTGATGTACGCAGACTTTATTGACTAACTTTTAAATAGTTAATATTATTTAAAGCCCAAAAGTCACAGCTCCTGCTTGTTATACGGAAAAATCGGAGTTTAAAGCCAAAGAACATATCTTCCTTTTCAACAAGCCGGTTACCCATTGTTCCAAAGGCTAATTACCTAGGAATCATCAATAATGACAAACTCACGTGGACACATCGCGTTAACTGTTGTGCTATACTTGAGAAATGTGATCTGAGTATAATGAATATCTGCATACCTTTCAGATTCTATTGCAGTTCTCAAGATATAGCAAATATGATAATAATTAGATTTTAAACTTCGAGTGGGTGCGTGTATGTGTGAACTTTAAAAATTTTCACACAACCTGTGGTTCAAACGTACTTGACTACTTACTTGCATGTCATATTAAGTATAGATCTGTAAAATGCATCCAATAATGGATGGCAAGAAAAAGCTTGCATCTACTGCTTCAGTTTGCCTGCGTACATAATATGCCTCTCAGAATAAGTTTTACATCTAGAAACATACATTTCATATGTACGTATTCATGTAATCACAGTCTATTGCAAATTGACCCAGAAATAGTATTGAGCCTATTAAAATATTACAAACGGCAGTGAGTACTTTTAGTAAGAGAAAACAGGCGTTTTAAATGCAATTTTGGGGAGTATAAAAGCATTTTATAAAATTTTATTTTTTACCGATATCGGTAAAACGTATTTATAAATATGAAAATTCTTTTCAATGTGCCCTTGAAAATTACAAATATGTACAAAATTTTAAATGCCAGGGAAACTGCTTGTTGAAGGAATGTAAATAATTTGCAATATTTTATTTCTTACAGATCGAAAAAAGGATTTAGTAAAATTACAGTTTGGAGAGTACATTGCACTAGGAAAAGTAGAAGCAGAATTGAAAACATGTCCTCTCATAGAAAATATCTGCGTTTGTGGAAATGGCCTGCAAACTTACCTTGTTGCCATTGTCATACCTAGTCAACCACATTTAAAGGCATTAGCCAAGGAATTAGGCAAAGATCACCTTCCTTTCAAAGAAATGTGCGCAGACCCAGAAATTACAGCCAAAGCTACTGAAAGAATAAAATCGTACGGAAAAAAATGTAAGTATGATAGTAAGAGATATATTTTTATGGTGTTGAAAATAAATAGTTTTAATTAATTTAAAGAGGAAATAGTCTTGCAACAAATTTTCATGAATAATTAATCGGAAATGAGTTTTTACTCAGAAATGGTGAGTAGTTAAAAAATACCTTTGAGCGCAGCTTATTTGACTATAATGACAAAACGATTGTAATGGAAAAATTGTTTTAGCCGAAAAGAAGGAAAAGATTTGAAATTCTCCTAAAGTTCGGCCTAGTAATTATTCTATTTAAAAGTGTAGAAACTTCGATCAGATTACGTTAATGTCGGACTTCAGTTCTCCACGGTATATCCCTCCCTTTCTGTACAGTGGCAAACGGCGGAGCACGTAATAAGAAAAAAAAAAAAAAAGCCGCATTTCTTAGATCGTCAGAACACAGCAGATTGCCTTAAAAGCAATGAGTAATGGAATCTATTTATATCATACATATTGATACGGATTTGGTATTTAAATAGCTAATGTTAGTGTTGTTTAAATTGTTTTATTTCCCGTGCAGTGAAGCTCGTGACGAATATTAAAGGAAAGGTAAAGGTAAAGGTAAAAGTATGGGGGACACCAGCGATGTACCATAAGTCAACTGGTAATGCCTTCCCATACTAACTCTTTGAAAAAAAAAAAAAAGGGGGGGCGTAATTGCAAGTTTTATAAGAATTTGCATAAATTGAAGCTTTTCAAAAGGTCTAAAGTTTACCTATTATGGTACATCGTGCAATTCCACAGTACGCCCCGCATCCAGTATTTATTAAAAATAATGGTGTAGGGCATAAGTAGATTACAAAATAGTAGGAATACAATTTGAGATTCACAAGATAAATTGAACATCTGATTTGGTGCAACAAAAATAGGAGATAAACATAATTAATAAACAAATAAACATAATGAGATAATTATAATTAGTACTGGCAACACAATGTTAAATGAATTGTTATAATAATGCTAAAGAGGTAGGTGTCCATGGATTATTTCAGATATATTGGTTTATTGCAGTTTATAAAGTTCAGTTCACGAGCGGATCCATTTTGTCCATAATTACAGCATGTGAAAGTTCACTAAGTTTAAACTGTATGTGGATTTACACTTGACAGAGATCTACGCCGTAGGAAGAGAGTCGTTGCATAATTTTCTGAAACTTTGGATATTGATGTTTATCTTTAATTAAAAATCTTTGGAATGCCAGGAGGTCAGTTCTTGGGAATTTTATGTGAATATCCTCAGTTAAGGGGCATGAGAAAACGTAGTGATCAGGAGTTCCCAGTTCCCCACATATGCAGATGTCAGAGTTTGCCAAATTTCTTGCGTGTAAAATATGTGGGGAAGGGTCCATGTCCTGTTATAAAGTAATTTAGGGAAGGATTCGAGTTCAGAGATGCTAAGCTTACATTGGGCATCAAGTTATATGTGCGCCTTCCCTGTGGAGCATTGTTCCACAAATCTTGCCAAGATTTTGAAGCAAGTTGTTTTAGTTGGTACTTGAAATTCGAGCGAGGCCACGGAATGATGATTTCAGTACCATCTTGATTAATAGCTGCTTCTTTGGCTAATTCATCTGCCTGATCATTACCAAAATGGCCACTATGTCCTTTGATCCATGAGATTTGAATTTTGTAGTTTGGGATTTTTCCAAGAAGAGAATTTATGTCGGATATCAATGGAGAGGAAGGTAAGGGATTTTTAATAGCTAGAACAGCTGCTTGGGAGTCAGATTTTATGCTAAATTCGTTGAGATTTTTTAGAATGGCTATTTCAATCGCTGCTTTTATAGCTGACAATTCCGCTTGGAAAACACTATTATTATTATGGAGATGGCCTTTCCATTTGATGATATTTGAGGGGGTAATTTGAAAAACGACTGCGGAACCAACTTTTCCTTCAATTTTTTGATCCATCAGTATAAGCAATTGGAGATGAACTTGAATTTTCTTCAGACGTGGTGAATATTATTTTGCTGAAGCGGAGCGCTGGATGGATAAGATTGGGGTTAATTTGCTTTTCATAGTTGGATGGCCAAAAGGTTTGGTTGTTGAATTCTGCGGCTTGGTTAAGTTGGAGAACTTTCGTATAGGTGCATTCCATTTCTGCACTGATTGATAACGGAAGAGTACCAGCTAAAGTATCAAGTGCTATATTTGAAGTTGTGCGATACGCCCGAGTAATGCAAAGAGTAAAAGGCCTTTGAATTGAATTTAAACATTTAATCTTTCTTACTGTCATTGGTTGTGCCCAAATTCCGGCTCCGTAATTTACCATTTTTGAGATGACTGTTTTTAGAAGAATACGTGTTATATGCGGATTTAAGCCCCAGTTATATCCATGCATACGTCGTAGGCAGTTAGCTATTGATGTTGTACGAAGTTTAATATTTTGTAGATGAGGAATCCAGGAGAATTTCTTGTAGATTGTTAAACCGAGGTACTTGATTGTGTTCACAGATTTGATCTTTTGATTGTCAATTTTTAGAAGCTTTAGTTATATTTTGTCCTGGTTTATGGATCACTAAGACTTGGGACTTACTATGTGAAATTTGTAGTTTTTGAATCTTGCAAAGTTGGTTAAATAACTGGAGTGTTTCGTTGCAATTATTCTGTAAAATGTCTCTGGTACGGCCACTTGTAATAAAAGCTACATCATCTGCAAAAGCTACAATTTTTGAGTGATCTGGCCATGGATAGGCAATGATGTTGTTGAAGCTGATATTCCAGAGATCTGCACTCATGCAAGACCCCTGAGGACATCCTCGGACTTGATTACGCATACGCACAATTTCAGTGTTGTTGTAAAGAATCATACTTTTTCTGTTTCTGAAGTAATCTTGAATAATTAGAAATAAATTTTGAGGGCACTTAAAGGAACGCAGCGCTTGTAAAACTGCTGGCCACCATAAAGAATCAAAAGCTGATTTTAAGTCGAGACATATTATTGCAGAATGAAGTTGGTTGATTTTATTGTTTCTGACTTGTTCAAGAGCTGCATTAATTGCATGACTTGTTGAAAGTAGGCTTCGAAATCCAAACTGGTTATTGCTTATTAAGTTTTTGCTGTAAACATGAAATTTTAGACGACCAATAAGACATCTTTCCAAAACTTTCCCAGGGCTGGGAGAAGATTTATCGGACGATAAGATTTAGGTTCATCGGAGCTTTTATTCTTCTTATTGAAGAGTATTATATTACCAATTTTCAGGCAATCAGGAAAGGTAGAGAGTTCTATACATCGATTGCAAAAACTACAGATTATGTCAGGATGGGCTTGATGGATTAATTTTATAATGTGGTTATCGATGCCATCTGGGCCTGGTGCCTTTTTTAAAGTTAGGTTTTTAATTATTTGCTTTATTTCTTGTTTTGAGAACTGGAATATCGTTGTCTGTTTGTGGAATGTCATCGCAGTTACGGATTCTGGTTTGAGTAAGGCGAATCTTCAGCTGGATCATCTTTTAGAAAGACAGAGTCAAGAATCTCATTTAGGGTTGAGAGAGTGGCATCCTGAATTTCAGCAGAACTTGAAAGCAAATTTGAGGAAGTTGGATTTGTGACGGTTTAAATATTTTACTACTGGCGATCTTGTATAAGGTGCCATAAATTTCTTTATTGTTTGAACAATATTTGTGTCCAGCTTTTTAATTTAGATTCGAGAATCATCTTTTTGTAGTTTGCATTTTCTTTTTTGAATTTGAGCCAGGCTTGGTGTCTTAATTCATCGTCAGTAATCGATTTCATTTTCCGTTTCAATGCTCTCGCCTTATGCTTTTGAGCGCGTAACTCTTTAGTCCACCAATTTATATGAAAGTAAGGTTTTGCAGATCGTATTGGAAAGGTATTTTCACATATTTCTTGGATTTTTTTTATAAAATCTTCTGTAGCTTTATTTAGATCTTCTTTTGTTGCACTTAGTTGGAAGGAAGAAGTCATTGGAAATGCGGATTGTTGAATTTGCTTAATAAAGTTCTTTTCTTTCTTTTTAGTAATTTTAAAACGTTTCATTAAAACTGATTCTGAGTTCTCTTTGATTTCAAAAGTAATATATTTATGATCTGAGTGAAGTTGTCTTCTTCAATTTTGCGATTTGAAATCGAATTAATTAGGTGATGGGAAGTAACTACGAGATCTGGCCACCCTCTCCCATACATTGTTTCGAAAGAAGGTAAATCCGAGGCTTGGTTATGAATGACAAGATTATGCGAATTGAAGAATTCCTCAAGGGACCTTCCTCTTGGACTTGTGGAATTGTAGCCCCAAAGCTGGTTGTGTGAGTTGAAATCTCCACAAATTATGTGTGGACTTCGGAAGGAAAACAAGATGGATTCTAAATCATGAAGCAAAGGAGAAATATCCTCGGAGGGAGATGCATAAATACTTGAAATAAGAAGTTGAGAGTTGGAACTATTAAGACTGATTGTAACTAGGTCTCTTTTGGCTGTAATTAGAATTGGGTGCCAGCTATGATTAAAACTGATGATAGCTGCTCTGGGATGTTGATTGGGCGACTGAGGAGAATATTGAAAGACATTCCAAGACGTTGGAATGCTACTTACTTTCCCTTCGATACAATAGGGTTCTTGGATTAAAACAAAGTCTTTATGGTTATGAGTTAAGAATTCTGCTAGATGATCAGAAGCCGTTTTTGCTCTTTGTAAGTTGATTTGGAGAAAACGAATTGAAGAAAATGGAATCGAGTTTTTTAGCAAGGTTGGGGGTAGATTATTTTGTACATCACTGTCCACGTTATAATCTTGAGTTGAAGCGTTATTCTTTAAATTGCGCTCTTGCATGTTAATATCAACTGAAGAATTATTAGTTATGGATGATGGCAACATGTGAGGTTGTGGCTTTGTCCGGGTACAATAATTTGTTGAGCTGACTCCTGTACGTCTGGCATGTTCTTTCATGAGCACCGTGATCAGTTGGCAACGAAGAACCAGTTTCTTGGTTACTTCGCACACAATTTACACAGAGTTTTACG